AGAAATATATATATATATATATATATATATATATATATATATATCAGTCCATGTTACTTTTTTACCGCGCTTTCTCTATCCTAGATACATCGGCAATCTGCTCCTACTTATCAGCTGTCAGCATGAAAAATTTGGACACAAAATTCAGAAGCACGTGAAAGAAGCCATTGGGAACGAGCTCAATCCACTGATCTACCCTATCCTGTTCAGTCAACTTCGCGCGCATGTTGACGCATGTTTCTCTGGTCAGGGTCAGCAGCAAGTGGTCGTGACTGAAACGAATACCTTGTTCATCGAGAATGTGATTTTCATTATGCGCAGCATATTGGACAAGCAGAGTGGCAAATCGCTTGATCGACTGAACGGACATCTGGAGGCGGTTAGCATTGAAAGTCTGATGCTCAACATTGTCCGGTCAGTTGGAGCACATTTTAATAGTACATTTAGTCCACTCTCTAAACGCCTAGTTATTTGGGAACACTGTGGCAGATTGTCTGCAACATTAACCGTACAACAACAGTAACCCCCCCTCAAAGTATAGCCTTTCTGAAGAAAGACCACTCCACAAGAAAACCCTGAACGGTAGCCCTCCCGCCGTCAACCAAGAGAAATGCCAAGTACTCCCTGTCCGTAGTGCTCTGTTCGTGAGATTATTATATGCAAATTGCGATTGTCTGTGTTAGGGATCTTCATGTGTTTTTCACATTCGCTTGCTTGACTTCACAGGGAAATCAAATAAGGCTAGTAGTGCTAGCACACCTCTGAAAACTACCAGCCCACTAGCAGTAAATTGTCGGATCGTTGTCTATTTTTATCGTTTTCTCGTTCTTGCTACTGAAAACAGCCTTGCACCATTCACGTCACGAGCCCCTGATGTTTCTGGATAGACTAAACCCAGATTTTCATAACCACCTAAGACCGCCAGCGAAATCCACGAGGGATATACATATTAATGACTTCTATGTGTCATTCTGATGAAACAAAATCCGAAGGAAATCAGGGGATTAACCAAACATCATGCCAATGATCCATCTCTTAGATGGTGTCTGTAAGGCCAACAACAAGCGTGAGCAAGAAGTTGTCGAAAAGTTTCAGGTTATTCCAAGAATGTATCATCTAATCGTTCACAGTGACGAGTGAGTTGGTCGACTCAGACAATAATTTCGGTGTCCTTTCACGCGTTTTCTGGCAGTTTGTGTGAGAATGTCACACTGATGAATGAGCTGATGTTTTTCGAAATCCAAGATCGATGAATTGCTCTCCATCGCTTCCCTTTGATTTTTAAGAAGGGAATCCATCAAACAAAGGTTATTCATTTTCAAGATTGCATTCCACTCAGATTTTTTGCCAGTTGTAACTGGTTCACAGTACCCCCTTAGAAAATTCTTCCCTCAATGGAAATCGCCCTTCTAAGAAAGCTTCTCACGACCTTATCCCTCAATCAGGACCTTTCATACGTTCTCTATAAGAGACTCTAGTTACCGCCTTTTCTCTGCATCAGTCTTTTGAGGGTTATTTTAGACGACAATTTCACCGCGTCAGTTTCTTCCTTCTAACAAGCGTAATTTCTGTCGGACTGATTTCGACGCACAGACATTAGAAAATGTGTTACTGAGCGAATCGTGTTTCGGAACAGTTGGTACATGTCACGACTGTTTAGCTTAATGGCGCGGACTTGTTCTTTTTCTCATTCTACTGCTACACTTGAAAGACTGGCGCTAACTAAAATGATTTAGTTGTCAACTTAATATCCCACAAAACGTCTTACTTAAATATATGTAGCATCCCAGAATGCGGACTGAAATTAACTTTCAGTTCTGGAAAGGTGTACCTAATCCTATTCGAGTGACACCACCAAATTCTCGAATCTTTATGCACTCTGTGTGTGTGTGTGTGTGTGTGTGTGTGTGTGTGTGTGTAAATTCGGATGACTCAGAAAACCTGCCCTACCCAAAATAAATTCCCGTTACTAGTCGTTGCTTTGTTCGCTGAGCTGGGCAGTTCGATTGCAAACGTTTCATCTCCATTCGAAGTGACATCATCAGTGCGTTGTTAGGGAGTGTAGCGGTGCATAGCGATGGGTTGGTCATTGTGCCTTATGTATGATGACGGGTTGGCACAACGACCAACCCATCGCTACGCACCGCTACACTCCCTAACAACGCACTGATGATGTCACTTCGAATGGAGATGAAACGTTTGCAATCAAATTTCCCAGCTCACGGAACAAACCAACGACCATCTAAGGTGCCTGAGCTACCAACATTTTCTTCTATGGGAAACGTTCCCCTTAAATGTGTACTAGCTACCTGCCACAGTGAGTGTCTCACACGGCGGAAAAGTTTTTAAAAAGAAACTCAGTGTGCTCTACCATGGACTCGAACTTATAAGGCTTTTCCCCGCTCGCCTATGTACAACTGATCATAAATGTCCATTTATTATCACTTTCTGCTGAATATTCTGCCTGTCAACAGCCCTTATAAGACTCTGTTTACTTGCTGTCACGTTTCTAGGTATGTTCGTCATCTCGAATGTGTTCATTCGCTTCAAATCAAAATCAAAGTTTGTCAGCTAGTCCAAAAGATGATGGCGAGAAGGGAAGATCTGTCGTTCAGACAGGTGAGTTTCAAACAGGTGTCAGTCCTTTTATGTAACGATCAGCTGGCTTCCCCACGAGACAAATTACTTGTCCGAAGAGACTGATGCAAACTATTAATCCCCTGCTTTATAGTTACGTAAACCGACTAGTGGGCTATGACTATCCGTAAGCCAGACGTTTCGCCTTTCTTGTCACGAGTTAAGTCACACGTGAACTTTTCTTAACACATTTGTGTCCTATAATGTGCGAATTAAAACCCCATCATATCCTTTTTCTGCTTCGTTTTACTGTTACGTGGTAAGTTTATGCACCAACGAGGAAATAAATCTCCAGAGCATTCGGCTGTGATTCTGTTTGACTGGCAGTTTTTACGCCTTTCCACCTCATACAACCCGTGGCCGATGGTTTCAGTAATGAAATGAAAAAATTAGAGCAGTGAAGCATCTCTCTCAATCTAATGCCGATATTTCCTGAGGTGGTTGTAGTTCTTCTAATCAGCGGATCTTATGCACTGGCCGTGCTACGTTCTAGTGCTTAAGGACATGACAGAAGTCCCCAGTTTACTGCTTCTTGCGCGTCTATGTAGTCATAATTGGTGGTTCCCTTTTGACTCATTTATCTGATACCGGGAGTCAGGTCAATGCCACGATGATTGTAAAACATACTTGTGAAATCTTTGTAAGGGTATCCGAATTCACCGAACCAATTATCACGTATTGATGGATCTCAGCTCTGTGTTCAAAATTGACTCGTATTCGGGCGATAATATTATTACATTTCAACCTCACTCAGTTTTGGGTCGCCACGTCCGTCTTAAAGAACTCATAGACTACTTGTTATTGATTTCTCGACCTGATCGAGCTCATTTTATCCTTAGGATAGATTTCATCGACCTCATATACCAATCTGACGCGTCCATAGCTAAATTGCCAGAAAGCCGTGTTACTTAGTTAACCTGGCTGAATACTGGTCTGCAGTTAAAAAATAGAAAGATATCATAACTACCTGATAATCCCTGAGCTCCGCTCATGTTGCAATGAACCAGCTTGAACTTAATTTTCTGCTTCTGAACACTGATTCTAGTAGATTCTGTGCCGGCTGCTGTTGGAAATAGGACACAAATGGTCCTTCAGTCGAGGTAGAGCCATTTGGGGCTCGTCAGTGGATGTACAGTGATCGCATACGCAATTCCCTGGTCAACAGTTTCAGGCTGCTGTCTCTGTCGACCATTTTGTGCCTATGTTGGATTTGATGTTATGTATGGTTCTTGCTCTAATGAATGGCCAGTATGCTTTAGGAACAAAAGCTGTCCAACTGCTTGAACTTCACTTTAAAGCAAGTCATAACTTGAGGAAATGACTGGAGAAGCTTAGTGTTAGCTGCATTGGTTGACAAACTCATCAACAGATCATAGACTGTCAGGTTTTAAGATGGGGACTGCGATCCACAGCAGCTGATAGTCGAGGCGGCGGAAATTAATAAGCATTACAGCGTGGTCAGAATCGGGGGTGTGGAACTGGCTAGCCTATGGAGAGCGGTCTCAGATAAGCCGAGTTGACACGTGACTGTGTGGTTGTCAATCAACGTAGAATCATTAGCAAAAACTGGGGAGTGGGGGTGGAAATTCCAACCCGACCCTCTTCCACAACCATCTTAGCACTACGTCATCCACACAGACGGACAGAAAGTTCAAACTTTCAAGACGGATCATCAAATGGACCGAATCAGAAGTACTAGACCCTAGGCTGGACCCAAACACATGTAGGTTTCCCCATCGGCCCAACACTTGTTCACCCACCCTAACACACAAAAATCCCTCGGCCGATATCCAGTAGAGATTTAGCTTGACTTAGCTGGTTGGTTCTCCTTCCGCCTTAAATCTTGACCAACCTCGGAACCTAGTCAGTTGGCCTGACGAAGCTTTTGTGTCAAAAGCGAAACGTTGCCCAGCAGTTCACGGCAGTGAGGCATCAGTGCCAACACTATTGTTGCTGTCATTGATGATGATGATCATGAATAATCTACCAATTGTCACCAAACTTTCTCGAAAACGTAGAGCATAGACTAGCCTGTCGAGAATAATGTCGCAGGGGTCTATAATTTTTCTCTAATCTTCAACGACCTGTACATCGATCAATAAACCTCCGAAAGTGGTCAAATTCACTGTTTCCTCTCGACTTGACCTCTTCGGCGAAGTTACTCCATATGTCATTCTGAATGAGATCGTTGGAACTTTCCTGTCTGACTTTTCTCGCAATAGAAAGTTTGGTGGGGGTCTCTATTCCATTCCAACAATTTTTGATGACGTAGAGTGGTTCATTTTATAGACAGTTGTATTTTTTTCACTTTGTAGCCCTACTTCGATTGTGCTATCAATTAACTTCAAGTAGATATTGACTAACTAAGACTTGGACCCCGGAACAAAAATTCCGTTGTTTGAACTCAGTTTCAACCGTTGGTCGCCCTGCATGGGTTGCTCCAAGCTTGTGTAGCCTGATGCGATCCTAAACCTCGCACTTCTTCGGGCTGCCCGTCGCTGTGCACTGACAGACTGTTGCAGCCGAACGAATTCCTCGTTGAGCTCTCCTCATTTCTCCTTGTTTTTGCTATGTACGCGGAATGAATAGCACTGGCTAAAAGTAATTTATCGCGTTGGCAGATTACTTAGTACCGGTGACCAAACAATGAATCTTGTTGGGCATCAGCCACTTTTTATAAACTAGTCTTTGTCAGTGATGATTCTGAATGTTATTTATTGAGCACTAAGCTACCAGGTAAATTTAGAAACCTCTAAGCACATGCTCGACTTTTTGTCATTATTTTTTTTACAGGAAATGCGGTTTCGGAACAAACTGGTTGACTACTTGTGTGATTGGGTTATGGGTAGTAGCTACCACCTTAATCTAGCCACACCGTCGAACTATCCTTCCCACCTCACTCCAGCTGCCACTGGGCCCTCTCAACCTCTCGTGGTCGGTTCTTCAGGGCAAGCATCAACCTTTACGGGGTCTTCTGGCTCTGTTACCGGCGCGGCTGGTACGCACGGACAGTTCACACTGGTTGGTCCTGGTGGGTGCGTTTTATCAGGTGTGAATATACACGGTTTGGCGGGAGTGTCGGGCAGCATTGGATCTGGTTGCAACCTGGTTCTAACAGGATCAATCCCAAATATCCCAACTACAGTGCACACTGGCATCGCTTCACCGATCATCTCCGGGACACCGTTGGTCAGTATTCCGTTGCACATTGAAACTCTGGGTCTGCCATATGGCATGAATTCTGTGCACACTACGGAACAAGGAACGTCAATCCCTCCGAACGCCTTTAACGTCGACAACTATGGTCGTGCTTTTGGTTCTGGACATCAATTGATAGAGTCCACATCTGTTTCCATTACAAACCAAGTTGCTCCAGCCCAAGGTCCATTGGCTGGTACATCAGCTGGTCAAACGGGTTTTCTTCTCCTGATGAACTCAAACAGTGCCGTGGATGCACTCAGTATGGCTTCAGATGGTCATACTACCGGTGCGCTTGGAACCATTTCTGTTAGTGGACAACTTGGACCATTACCCGTTTCTTCCGTCTCCTCGACCACGAGTTTCGGTGGTGATGGTGGCGGAGCAGTGGCACAATCTCTCGGTCTGGTTAGCGCGGTGGGGAACGCCGGAAAGTTGCACACACTACCATTACTTGCCGGAAGTATTGGTGCTTCCACTGCTGGCCACATAAATGTCCTGCCACAAACCCAGGGTGTGGGATCAGGTGCACCCTGTCCATCGACGATCAGCGCCGGAAGTGGTCCGAGTTCAGAACCAAGTCCAGGCATACAGGCAGCTGGCTCCAGTGCTTCCATTTCAGTGAACGCACAGGCTAGTGGGTCAGTCTATGGTTCGACTTGTGGGGCTGGATCAGCACCAGGTGGTACCACTGGCTTGACGAGTCAAGCCGCGATGCAGACCAGAGAATTGGATCTGGCTTGTATGGAAGCTGTTGCAGCCCTTCTACAAGGCATGCCATTGCAACCAGAAGAGGTAGATCGTGGAGATTTGATGGACGCTAAATCTCATCTTTTTGCTAAGTAAGTAGTTGCTAGCTATTTTCCCTAGCAATTCTCATCCTATATATATTTTGATCAAACTAAAGCACACTCTTTTCGTCAACCATACGCATTATCGTTGTTTTTAACCCTTACTCTTTCTGTTACCAAGTTCAACTGCACATTTTTTTGCTGAAAAATTTGTGTTTTTAAAAAATTTCTGTGTACCTGTACAGACTCCTCAGAATGATTCGATATAGGCGAGACGCCCCAGGACATTTTCAACCTTTCGTACTGAACTTTCAGAACATCTGAACACCTAGATTTCTATTGAGATACTATGGATTTCCATCGGTTTATCTTGAGCAGTTTATGCCAAGGCTTCTTTGCATGAGCAAGCTTTAGTTGTACCGAGGTACTGTGGTGTGAAAGAACTGGCTTGAGCGAATCAATCCTTTAAGTAAAATGGCTCATACTCAGAGGCAGCCCCGACGTTTGTTGGTGGTGTTCAGCGCATTATCACGATTGTTTCCCCTATGTCGCATTGATGACAGTCGATTTTTTCGCCAAGCAACAGATCTACAGCCGTTTCACCTTGTGTTTTCAACGGATGTTGGTTTGCAATGCTCACGCGATGTTGTGAGCACCAGCTGTAAGCATCTTCCACATAAGAGGGGAAAATCTCATGTGGTTAGCCAGAGTAAAAACCTGAAGCCAAGTCACCATCAGTGGAGTTGTTTTCGCCTCCTATTGGAAACTTGGAAATTCGACACATCGCAACTCCGAGTAATGGGTCAAGGTTACCGGAGCAAGCCTACAGATATCGGGTATCGTAAAATCGACGTAAGTCTAGCCCATAAATGTGTACATTGACTTCCGTTTGGTCAATCCAGTGATTATTTCACCACTCAGTGTAATTCGTCACTTAGTATGGCTTCGAAATAATGACATGGAACACATGGAACACAGGCTTGACCGTTTGAAGTCGAATGCTGAATTAAGCCACTGACACAACATGCCTTTAAACACGAAGCCGAAATCAAATCAATTTCAGCCCAAATGACCCATCCTACTGCGGACGACATCTTAGTGGATCTAAATTTTCTTGTAATTTGTCATTGAAGTCCCTTTCGATGGTCTAAGCACTCTGTCGTTTGAACAGTTTATCGTATCAAAAACTGCGCCTCTATCTTGTTAGTTTTTTGGTGTTTCAATGACCGATACATCCTTGTGAGTCCTCTGCTAAACTCCTATTCCTGAAAATCCAACAGGGGGAACGGCACTTTTGACCACATTCCATTCGGGTAACGCATTGAGTCCATTTTACGATATATATATATACTGTGAATTGTGGAATTGCGATGAAATTCGTCACCTTCCTGAGTCTTAAACATGGCTTATCATCTGTTCCTTTGTTTCTAGGTACTTCACGCTGTTCATGAACTTGCTTAACGACGTTGCTGATGATCGTGAGAAACGTGCAGAAGTCAGACAGAATAATACTGCACTACGAAACGTTACAGTACAAGCCATGTCAAACCTACTGAATGCGAATATCGAATCTGGCCTTGTGCACGCAATTGGTGAGCATAGACCCCTTGGTAGTTTTTCAACTGTTCACTTCAAGGGTACGTTAGCTTGCCTGCATTAGTTATTGTCTACTTACAGTAAGTAAGTTAGGAAGTTAATTGGTTTCGTTAAACCTTAGAGTTGTCCAAAAACAGCTATTTTAGATAGTATAATAGGGATTTCTCATCCTGTCCTCCGATGCGGGCCTACTCTTTATATCGTCTTGGTATGTGTGGGTGTTGCTTTTAACCCGTGCAATCAATTTTACTTCATACTTATCAGCCTTCTTTCCTATTTTCCTTGTTCGCCAGGCCTGGGTTATCATCGGGACCCTCAAAGCAGGGCAGCCTTTATGGAGGTACTGACAAAAATTCTGCAACAGGGCACGGAGTTTGAGACGCTTGCCGAGACGGCACTTGCTGAGCGATACGAAAGACTCATTGGACTGATAACAATGGTCGGTGAAAATGGAGAGCTTCCTATCGCAATGGCACTAACGCAGGTCGTGCAAGGCACCAGTATGGTAAGTCTGTTCAATGAATTTGATCTCCTTTCAGGCTATTTCCTGTCAGGTTGGAGATAGGTCAGCTACTTTCCAGCAGGTGGGATTCATGCACGACAGAGTTGATGAGTCAGGACGTTCAGGCTACATATTTTGCTTCCCAAACGATCACTCGTTATTTATATCCCTTTCTAACCTAATCCAAGACGACCAGCTTGTGATTTTGGAGTGCATCGCGCAGTATTTGACTGCTAAAAGTATTCACACTTATGGATTCTGTCGCCGATGACATCATTGGAGGAGTAACAACCTTTAATACTAGGAGGTCCTAGTAATCGATTTTATCTTTATCCCAATGCACTTTGCATTGAATATTATTGCGTACTGGTTGCTTCCCTAAGTTTTCAGGCCCGTCGAATTTACGTTCTTTGGTCTAGCTCAGCCGCTTTCTTTCACTGATATAGCATAGATATAGTCGGCACACCAATCCAAGGCGAGATCATCAACTTGACGAATCTGCATCCGGCACAAAGCTACGCGCAAGCCACCAGACCATGGTGGTCCCCAGAGTTCGGTTAAATGTCATCTCCCGCTGTGTATCCGCATAGGCCCTCGTAAATCAAAATCTTTTCCAATTCTTCATTGGAATGAAGACAGATTTAGACGGATGGAATCCCTGATATCTATCAGCTGTTGACATAGCACACTACTCACGAAGTTTCCGAAGACCATTTGACAGCCCGCTATTGGTTTCGCACTTCTTGAGGCTCATCAATTAGATGTAGTTTCCGAGCTTCCATCAACTTCATGTTCTGCTTGAACACCAACTAGTAAACAAGTGATAGATTAATTTAAGTTAAGATTAAGTTAAAGCCAACGGGAGACTCCACTGAAGTATACTCTAGACGAGGGATTAAGTTTTGTCTCCTGCTAAAAGTAGTCCGTAAATTTGTGTACTTTGCCAGTCATCAACTCTGCCTTTGAAAGTTTGAAAGCTGTAGGTTTTGTTCCTGCAAACAACTAATGAGTTAACTAATGATCCGGAGGACGAATAACAACCATATTTTACCACCCGGCCAACGAGATGTATTTGAGCGAAAACATAGTATTGCTCAGTGCTTCCACGTGGACTCAAAGCTGAGCTATCACGCACTGATGATATCACTTTGCCTGACAATGAAGCGTTTGCAAGCAAGTTGTCAAGTTCAGAGAACAAAACCACATCAAAATATTTTATAGGTTCATAACAACACTCCATCCTCAAATTTCTAGTTGAAATTTTCGGAAGAGCGTTGCAAGTGGGTTGAAATATTCTGCTCCATTGTATATCTGGCGCATCGAATACACCTAATAAGCTTCAGCTAATGTCAGTATTGTCATTGTATCCCACCGACCTCTTACTTTTTGACTACTTGACTGGCTCCCCTTTTTTCCTTTAGGACGAGTTGGCTAAGGTGCTGGTCACTCTTTTCGATGCTAAAAATCTGCTCTATCAACTCTTCTGGAATGTATTCTCTAAAGAGGTAAGGCGTGTGTTTCGTTTCTACCACACGTTTCTCTACCACCTGTTTTTTTGTGCGAATCCTTGTGATGTCATGTTCTATGAAATCCCGTATTCTTAAAACGCTGCCTGTTTGGTAAGTCTCGGTTAATCTGGTCCTCACGTTTAAGGTATTTACGGTCCACCGGTCAGTATATCCCAACTTCATCAATTAAAAGCCGTTATGGGAAGACTCAGACGTCTGGTCTAGTTAGAGGCACCAACTAAGTCGTTTGCCATCGTTTCCGGAACCACAAAGGTAATCACCGTCGCTGGTCTTTGAGCTGTTTCATTATGTACCATCGTTTCTTTAGGGACCAAGTAGCCTAAACTGGTGATAAAGACCAACTTAGTTTCACCTACGAAATAGCCTGTGTGTTGAGAGTTAGCTGGGCCACGAGTTTCGGATGAGAATGTTATCAGTCTACGGTTCATGGGAAACGCCTATGTATAGACATCATTTCCTTCCGGCAAACTTGGTGTGTCGCATGCATATTTCCAATGACGTATTTTTCGACCATTCACCATTACTTCTGTGCATAGCATTCCAGGGCTACCCTAAATACTCTTCTCTCCAAACTGTTACCACATCTTCAATTCTATCAATAAAGATAATAACAGGTGTAGGTAGCAAACCTGCATTGATAATGTTAATTTGTTTTATCTAACTCTACTTTCCACAGCTCGAGGCGGCAGACAGCACGCATACTCTCTTACGAGGCAATTCCATGAGCAGCAAAATTATGAACTACTGTTTCAAACATTTCGGACACGACTTTTTGCAATCCGCCTTGGGTCCAGCTCTGATGGAGTTGGTTCGACGCGATGCCGGAGGATCCAACAGTCTTCCTGAAATGACCAGCTTCGACATGGTCCCAAACAACGTTCGCACAATCAGTGTAGAATCTGATAACCTTAGTGCCGATAGAACCGGCACAAATAAGCCATCTTATGAGGTCGATCCGAGGCGCTTACAACTCGGAGAGAATCTTGAGGAGAATCAGAAAAATTTGATATACGCGACTGAATTGCTGTACGGAAGGCTTATATCGTCAATCGACAGGTGCGTGCATCCTCTTTTCTGGTTAACTGACCATTGTTGCTATGATGACAGATATCTCAGTTCACCTGTCTTCTTATCCGCACTAATCTTTGTTAGCTGACTTACCCACGTGGATGTTCCCCTAAGTCATCTCACCCTACATCCTCAACCTTCTTCTCTTACATTGACGCACAGTTACTGTGATTTTTCCAGTTTCGTACAAAAAACAGCCTAAAAATTATTTGATTCATTGTCCTTCTAATGCATCTTGCTTAAAAGAATACATTAAGTAGAATATGCGGAAAAGCATATTCTCCTCTGAACGAAAACTGCTGCAACCTGTTTAGTTACAATTTAACCGTGGCTGTGTGCAGCTATCCATGGCTAAATAATGACTAGTTACAAGTTTGTGATCCTGGATTCCATGGGATTCGTGACGGCCGTGTGGCTAATGGCTCCCAGTGTGGCCGAAACACCTATACAGTGCTCCCAGCTTTTCGGTATGGCTTGTCTTCTCTCTATAAGATTGAATCTGAAATGTTATCCGTGAAATCCATCACCATTACTTGGTCGCAACGTACTGTAATACCGCACCTTTGTCTCACTCAAAGCCCTCTTTGTGAGGACTCGAGAGGGAGTCGTATTCAAGATGGAATGTTGCACTCGGAGTCATGTTCTTTTTCAACGGATTAAAACTCTACTGCTTGTTCCTGTTATGTTCAGTAAAATATTTGAATTTGGCATCGTATTTTTAAGTGACGCGAAACTGTATGTCGATGCTTTTACAGTATCTGGTATACTTGGATGTTTACTCCACGCTGCCACCAGGTTTGCGTCAATGACTCTCAAACTGCACCTGCTTTCCTTTTCACTCAGTTTCCCCGCTGCCTTGCGAATACTGTGCAACTGTCTTTACAAATTGATCAGTCATTACTGTTGCACCCCGGACAAATCGGATCAAGCGGCTACAGTCCTATCCACAATTGTCTTCCTACGTTTTATCAATCCGGCTGTCGTGTCACCATGCGAGAATGGATTGTTAGACTTCGAACCGCCACCTCGTGTGAAACGTGGTCTAACTTTGGTCGGGAAACTGATGCAGAACATTGCGAATCAGCTGCTATTCACCAAGGAGCCACATATGCGTGTTTTTGATTCGCTGCTTCAGAAGCATTTTGAGTCTTGTCGTCTTTTCTTTCGGGTAAGCAGTTGTTCGCACAACGTTTTATCGTCTTGCGAACAACCATGATTTTCTCCCCGATCATTTTTACTACTCTACTGGACATTCTATCGGTTTTGAGCTTCTGAATGGATACGATCCAGATAAAGTTATGAACCGAATCACGCCACTGCTCGTATCAAGTGATACTCATATGGAACCTGTTTTAGTGGATCGCCTACTACTACTATGAAAGTTCTTTCCAGTAGTCCTGAACTCTCACGGGCTGATAATTGACATAATTTTCAGTTTCGTTGGCCGGTGCCACATGAGGGGCGAAAATCAACCGTTTATTGGTTTGAGAAAGCCCCCTTTCGATCATATAAGCGGATTGTAGCGAGTGTTCAACTGTGTACTGTGCAGCTATCTCAAGGTTCGATTGATGTGAACTGCTGATGATTTTTAAGTAAGACGACACAGCTGCAACGTTTTTCGGTTTTTGTTCAAAGTAAACGTTAGTGTACACGATGAAATTTCTCTCTAATCAATTATAGTTATTCCGGGATCTGTTTGCCTTCATTCTTGATTGTTCACTGTAGGCATCCACGACTGTATTGTGCACCTCTGTTTCCCTGTCCTTTCGCCTGACTGCGACAAGCTGGTTGATGTACCACCACGACTTATCTGGAAGATGACAGTTACAATCTATTCAGCGTGGTGTGCTCCTCAATCGTGCTCGTATATGGTTATAGACAGGTTTTTCTGGATTCACCTTCAAGTCCGACCATGATCTACCTAGTTTTGATTAGTAGTGATTGTTTTCACAGATCTACACACATCTGCAAGGTTGAAGGATCCGGTATTCAGAACTTCTGTGAATGTTTATTTTCGCATCACCCTTTCTGTCCTTCGTCTGTTGTTGGCCTTGTTCATCTGTATATTCGCCAATCGTAACAACTTTTGACTTCTTATCATTCCATCTGACATTTGTTTATCACCTCACCCGACGATAGAATCACGGTCCCTTTATTATCTTAGCTCTCGATAATAGGCATAAACCATTATAGCTTTCGAAATTTTTACGCCTCACTGTGTCGAAGGTGTGTTATTGTTTTTCTCTCTAAGACTAGATTAGATTCCCTAGATTAGAATCTCAGAGCCAACCACCCTCGTTCTTTCTCGCTTGCATTCTGACAGCCGCAAGCGGAACTGTTAGCTTAAGCGATGCACGGAAGAGTTGAATTCGAATCACGGAACTCTTGCACTCTCAGACTTTTGTAGGCACTAGCTCTATCCAACTGAACCAGTTTACCGCTCGAAGTTGATTTATTGTGTAAAGCCAGGCTTCATACCTGACAGGTGAAGTGTCACCAAATGACAATTTATTGGTTCCCACTCCCTCATAATCGTCTTCATCGTTTTTGACGGTTACACCATATATGTCAATGTACTGAGTCCATCTGTCATAGAGTTAAATACCTCTGAATACCAAAGCAGCCGGACAACTAGTAATCTTGTCACTAGGAGATTCTAGTGGTGAGTCGTTCTGCTCTCTGTAACAGGAATGTGAAGACGGTAAGATGTTTCTTCCGGGCAGCTAGCATTTTCTTGCCCATGGAAACAGCAGTGCCGCCTTCCCCTGAGTAAGTTACCTGGGGCTCTCAGTTGTAATCAATGGAACAATCAGAACAACCGTATAATAGTGCACTACAGACAGCTCTCTTGTGTTTATGACTATCGTCCTTAAATGAACTTTACGAACTCAGATCATACAGTCTGTTTCCCTGTGAACAAGGGGAAGGCCATTCATCGGTATAGTGGTCATTCGAGAAGCCTATCAGCGTCACTTGCCATGAACATGAAGCAAACCGATAACCTAATAAAGGTTAGTTCAGCATTCGAAAAACCATGAATTCGGCTTTTGACATTGTATCCCAGTTCAAGTTGGATCTCACAGCGATCCACTTCCCCAGATGGTAAGACAATCTCTGAAACGGCTTCTGCCCTCAGTCCCGAGTCGACTTGGAGAAACGGTGGCCAAATTGGCCTCAAAATGTGAAAAAGCGATATCACCAACGAAACTACTGCACTGATGTCATCACTAAGAAAAGGACCCAAAACTGGTACCATGACGATTCGTCTACTCTGAAAGGTGCAACAGTTCAAAGAAAAATTTATTCGGCCTAGCCTAACGATCAACGACGCAATGGAATACATGATTCCAGCAGGAGTTAAAGGTAAAAATGAAATTAAACTTTCAAACGAAACGAAGGTAGTGACCGTCTTGTCTGAAAATGACAGCCTGACTAAACTCATGCAGGGCATTTGGAAACCGAAAAGTGTCATCCGGATATGAGAACCATGGCAGTGTCAGTGTCTTAGTTGCCAACGCGGGTCATTCTTCCTGGGCTTACAGACATAAGGTACTCGTAAGACGCAACACATTTTCGTCCCGTCTTGACCGTACGGCACCCTGTCGAACACCGCCACACACATAGAAGGTCAAAAATTTGTCATCGTGGATCGGTGGACAGTGTTCGCCTCGGTCATTCGCGCCGTTTTGTGGCGATATCCCCTCTTCAGGGGTTGCCACCATATTCTTCATGATAAGTCAAGCCCGTTGGGCCCTTTGAAGATTACAGATATTATTCCGCTGAATTTACCACCAAAAGTGGTGTTCGTTGGGGCCGTTCCCTATCAACCTTCCTATTCAATTTCATAATCGGGTTGACTATCGAAGAAAACCTGGCTGTCTGCGGTCCGCGGCAGGTAGTGGCAGGTTCCAACTGAAAATTACTGCAAGATAGGAAATGTATCACCTACAGCTGAAGTGTACAGAACGTAGATCAGTATTAATAGCGTTGATGCGTGTCCCTACGGGCTTAGGGTGTCAGTACCTACCACATCAACGGTTGGACATGTCGATGTCACCATAATTTGTGCATTTGTTCTTATTCCATTTTGCTTAGCCACTAGCTCAGTGCTCTTTGGTTTTCACTCGTTCCCTGCACACACGAGCCACTTCCATCCTACACTGTAAGCTGCCACGTACATGGTTGTCACACCGCGCTAAACGGGACGGAAGGTAACCGAACTGAACGTCATCGTCATTACCTCTAACATCTACAGCAGAACCAATGGGGCATATGGGGAATTGTGAATCCCTCCTCCGTCAAACACAACTTCCATTTCTGACATGGTGAAGACCGCCATTTCTCATGAGTGTGTGGCGCAAGACAGTACATAACTAACTCTACTTCTTTCGGGCTCATCAGTAGCTCGTGGCCGACTGGTACACATACTATTCAGCCACCGGTCTTAGTGTCGCTATTTCGAATCTCCCGAGGTATTCGTGGGGTGCGCACCTCTGATGGCCCTGAAAAAGGTTGGATCAGTTGTTATTCCCCAAAGGTGTGTTTGTCCTTTCTTCCTGATAATCTGGACGATATGAACAATTAGATTGCCACCATCATCTTTTGTCTGCTCAACCAGGGTCGTCATTTCCTTAAATATTTAACAACACGTACCACATGCTTTTACTTGGGTTCTTGTATCGTTTTCAACAGGAGATTGTCACCTCTGATGCGAATTACGAAATGCCTCACTTCAACAGCTCACCGCTTCATCACGGTCGGCCACAACATGCAGCTGCAAGTTTTACCGATCTTCAGGACACACAACTGGCTCCAGCAGCTCCAGTTCTACTTTCGAATCCCTGGGTTTCTACGAAAACTGCTTCCTCGTTCAGCCCCACCAGGTCTATTACTACCGAGTCCTCAGTTGCTGTCGGTGCGTTAGTACGAACGTTTGATCGCCCAAACACTGGTGGTGGTGGCGGCGGCACTGTTGGGGTGACCGGATTTATATCCGATGATCTGATTCATGCAGTACATCGACTTCTGTGGGTCAATCAAGGCAAAATTGGAGACTATTTGGCAAGCAGTCGGTGAGCTGCAGAGTAACAAGGGTTCTGTTGTTCGTGTTGATTTCAGCCCGATGGCTCAGGTTAAGAATATAAACCGCCCCTTGTTTAAAGCGGATGCTTATAGGTAGATTCCTCCAAATAATCCACGTATTCTTTCGTTTTTCAGCAACACAACAACGGTACTTAATTAGAGTGTTAAAAGTTTACGGTTTACTCTTCGACGATTCTTTGTATTTTATTCAAATGGAAAAGAAATAAAAATTTAAATGGATACGTAAGCTTAAGTCAACTCGTCTCAGCCATCGGTTTCTTAGTAAACGCCTATCGCATGTACAAGTGACTACAGTCGGTAAATTTCGCCAAGCCTTCACTGTATTTAGGAGCTGTCTTCAGAAAACTACCGAAAAAAATTATGGTAACACAAACAGTGGTCCCTAAATAGGGACATTTCCTCACATGCTAAGTTCTTGCCGTACAGGCTTTTGTGTGATACTGTGTTTAATATTTCGGTGGCTTATTTTGCCACAGTCAGATAAACGGTGTCGCTTCTGATTAACTTTGTTCCTCAAAACGCGATTTCGGTGGAATCTAAGCTGTTTTTCAAAGAGCTTTTTTTGGATTTTTAGTCTGTCAACATTTCTTGATGAATAATGCTTTAAATGTCTAACTGTTCCAGCATCACATCCCTCAGCGGCGACAACCCCCTTAATCCACGTATTTTAACCCACTCAAAGGAAATTTTAGGAAAACGGCCGATACTGTAGAGAATCCAACTATACTTCAACTGATATTGTCACTGGGTAATGATGAAACGTTCTATCTGGATGGTGTTTAACACTCACGTTTTACCGGTTTTCAGACACGTTAAGATAACCACAAATGATCAGCTATTTTCCAGCAAAACAGTAACCCGATTTTCATCTCAAGTTGTCTGTTAACTGTACTCCTCAGTTATAAGCACTATGCGTACTTATCACACAGTAATCTCTTGCATGGATAAATTCACACAATTGCGGTAGCAGTCTATTAGAAGCCACAAATTTCAACTTTTCGTCCTCCGTTTCATATTCTCATTTGAAGAATCCTCTTTCCGAGTAGGACCACAGCCCACTTCCATGCGATGTTAAGGCAAGTCGGGTTGCACATCACCGCAGCTGATGGCCAACACTTGTTCTCCTTTTGGCAGTGAGATGATGTGAAATGGTAATGCCAGTCGACAGCTTTAGAAATTTGCACACAGGTGGACATGATTCCGAATTTTGCAGACTGTTTATTGAGCATAGAGTGGAGTGCTAAGTCACTGGATTGCAAGTCCATCAGCTGTGTTCAATACAGTCATCTCAGCAAGCTCATTTTCCCACGCTGCTTCTCGGTTTGTCAGCGTACAGCTCCGCTCAGTAGTGGGGGCATTTGCATCCAAATTCTTGACACCAAATCCATTGCTTTACATCACTTATCACATGCAATTCAACCCCGTGTGCGCTTTCATTCGACCCAATACGGTATCGCGGGGATCGTTTAAGCGAAGTTTGCAGTGCTACGGTCCTAACAAAACGTTTGACAATGATACTTCAGTTGGGTATTTGTGTATGTATTTACCGTAAAGCAATTACGGAATGTTTTGCTTTCACGTCTGAAGACAGTTAACTGTGTTACATAAACCACCATATAGTGCCGAAATACTGGTAGCTCGGATGAGTTCATTGGCTGCTGATCAGATGGCTGTTGATCTGTTCGCCGAACTTTGCATTTGACTTGCAAACGCTCCGTCACCATACAAGGGGATACCATCAGTGCGCAGTTGGGTGGGTACCTTCTGTTTGCCTTCGTGCGTTTATCTGGTATTTAGGGGCTATCTGTTATCTCCTGGCGTGATTGGCTAGTTGCTTGTCAGCGTTTTTCGCGCATTTATTGGTCCGTCTGTGATCTGTGTTGCGTTGTGGTTTGCGTTCCTTCAAGTTGATTGATCGTCCCAAGGATTTCTATTTTTAGTAGTTTCGCTCCCGTTCTGATTGGCCTATTTCCCCATTTGTATTGCGTTATGGTTTGATTTTTCTTTTTCGGGAATGATTGGCTGGCCGCACCGCTCCATGTTTTTCATTGTGTTGACTTGCGTCCGTCGGTTAATTTGGTTAATCGCCTGGGCATCTCCTCTAATCCAAGTGGTGTGTCCGTTTGGATTCAACCCCCTTTCTTCTGCAAGTTCCTCGTCTGGCTGCTTGCTCGGTCCAGAGCTACGTGGTTCTTGTGTTCTCTTGCTCTTAGCGTTTGATAAATGGGGTCGATTTCAATATGTTTGTTGATGGCTTCTTCGGTGGAGTACCACGCTTCCATTAATTGGCTTGAGCCAATATGCGAGTGGGACAGTTTTCTAAACTCAAAGCACGAGAAGATTGCCTTATGCTTATGAAAGAGTGATAATGTTGGTAACAGTCCAAATGTTGTCTCTAGAATGCACAAGATCACTGTTACCACTCTTTATAGCCTTTTTATAATGTTGCGTTAAAACTATTAGAGTCGGAAAGATGGCATTTATTTTCGGCGCTAATAAAGCATGCTCCCCCGGTACTAGTTCTCCATATCGAAAGACAGGATGTTTTAGGAATCTTGTCCTTTTCGAACGATTTCTAATGAGTTTAGCCAGATCATATTTTTCTCCGTGTCAACTCAGAGATCGGAAGGCCGTCGGACGTCAGCCTTTCGACCGAATGGTCACGCTGCTCGCACATCTTGGACCCCCAGAACACAAATCCATGGATTCCACGTAAGTATCCCTATGAACCCTTCTGCATGATTACTTTGCTTTTAGCGAGGCGACGTTGCCTTTGTCTTTTTTGATAATGATTAGATGCGAGTCCTGTCAGTCCATAGTCCAACCTCCTTTTTGTGCTGACCGTAGAAGCTACGTATCCTCATTTTGCTCCACTACTAAAGCCAAGCGCAGGCTTCATGCAACTATACATGTGTAGGTATCCTGTATTTGGCTTAGATGACCTTTCACAGTCATTGACTAATGGAGTACTCCCTCTGAGGTCGTGTAGTCTGATATTTCGAATACGGCTTGTCGCTTATTGTCCAGGAGGGTTTAACCGAAGCTGACTACAAGTATGATGAATTCGTATGCCCCTGGATCCCGATACGGTACCGTTTCATATGCTAGCGTCAGTTCGCAGCCTCGAATTTTCCAATTTAACGTACATCTGTCCACTTTTTTACGGCGTGAGCCTTAGTTTGGGATGGTGCGACAGTCGGTAACCAGAAGACCTATACAATCTGACTGCATGAGTAAATGCTTTATGTCCAATGGAACTGTACTCATACAGCCCTTCCACTCAACATTTGCGTCGTACGCAAATGTCATTTACTCTCATCATAGGAATTAGTGGACTTAGCTTATGGATAATCAACTCCTGTAAAAAATTACCTGATAATCTGAACAGTTCAAAATGGATCATTCTAGTCTTGACTGTTACTTAAGCGCGCTGCAAAAATTGCTCTGTGAAGAGTTCAACCATCTCTGTGTGGGTTTTGGTTAGGTTAGCTTAAAACCGGTTGGTTGAAACCTCAATTTTCCCTGAAATACGGTTAATAATAGTAGACTTTGCCATTATATTTATACATTTACGACATTCCAGCGTTTTATACTTTTGGTATGACTAGTTTGCGCGGTCCGTAGATGACACAATGACCAGTGCATGGCCTCGTCGTGTTCAAAAGTATCAGTATTGAGGATGAAAGCAGCAATAAACGAAGCAACTTTCGATTTCCGTCGTTTGAGTTCTTGCATGCCCGCGTGAAATGTTGCTGGGTTATGGATACATCTGAATGAGCTCCCTCACTAAGTCCCCTATAATTACGAACGAAGGGGCTTGTTCTCCGCCCTACTGTCTCGGGTAGATAGCATAATTCTACTTGCGTTAAATGCAGTCTTTATTTTTGGGAATGCTGCAATGTCCCTATTGCTTGTGATAACGGACAGAATTAGCTTTGACATTTTGTAAACTGCCTGTCACCCGCCTTATCTCACTGATCTGTCGCTTGATAAGCTTCACTTTGCTGCGCTTACCCTCCAGCTTCTGCATTGTTTATCCGATTGTTCCTATTGCTCTTAACAGCAGTGGGGTGGATTGTTTTTGCAAAACAGCTACTGGCGACATGTACATAGTGTTATCTCTCCTCCTCACTCATATTTATTCAGATGGAACTACATGGAAGCGCATTCGACCCGTTTGGAAGATTGTGTGCTCCGCGGCTACCAGTTTCGTGACAGTGAAGAGTTCAAACGGTTGAAATCTCTAAATATATTCTACCAAGCTGGAACAAGTCGATTCGGCAATCCCGTATTCTACTATATTGCACGTCGCTATAAGTAAGTCCGATAAATGTGTAGGCTGATTTTTCCATCTTGTGAATTTCATCAGCAGTGACGTTTATTGGCATCGTTGCAGGAAATTGCACGCCGTACAACTACCTCATTTAGACGATTATTTCGGCTATGGATAGAATGAAAATGAAAAGAGTGGGAATTGGTAACGACCCATACGAGCATTCCATTTAGCATTCATTTAGTTTAGTGAGCAACTACGGGAGTGCTGCCGATTTCGCTTTGCGATTGTATGCAGTGAGGCGTTAAAACGGAGCACCCTGTAAGATGAGTCATAATGATAACACCCTGGTTTTTTCCACAAATCTCTTAATTTCTTCCTGTTACAGATTGTCTTAAACGTTAATCACAAAGTTCAACTCACCTGCAAGGTTAGGCCTGATAAAGTGCCATCTGAGTCCCCATTCATTTGCTTCCTCTGCACAGGTCTCAAGACTATCAGCGAGTCGAATATCCTTTGATCATATGTCTGGTATCCGTAACCTTGGATGCCTACAGAAGCAAGCCATTCGAGCTGGTTGTGGATTTTACTCATACTTCAGTGGAAAATCGGTTCAAGGTAAGAGCTCACACGTAGCATATTTTAGAACCACAATGAGCACCATAATGCTCTACTACTACACTTCGGCTATTGTGAGTTCTTCTCATACCCTTCGTAGATCATGATTGATTTTCAACTTCGAGAAGCCTATTGACTTTGTTCTTCTGTACTCCAGCGGGCATCTGTTATGAATTTACAATCCAACCTCTCCTATTCCTTTTGTCATATGTAATCAGGATAGTTCAGTGTGATTGCTCTGAAGAACTCCCATATTTTTGTTCTATTCTGTCTCTCAAGAATGATCTTCTCAACAAATGGGCAAGTATCATCGGACCGGTGCTGAGAGAATATCTGGTCGCTGCTTATATTTACAATTGCAACTCCTGGGTTCGTGAGTACACAAAGATTCATGATCGATTCTTCTCGCCAATCAAGGTGAGCTGTTAGGCGTTTGCCGAAATTTCGAAAGCAAAAGCGTCAAAGTTCTTTCACTTTTAATCGCTTAGTTGATGAATTACTTGGGAAAAGGGAACCGGTAGATGTGGACATCAAGGGTAATTTAAATTCAGGTAAACGATACGACCATATTCAGACATTAAGCACTTCACAAAGAGCAGCCACATGTAACTCACAACATCATTATCATCATGATGAGGAACACTAGTGCCTCACTGCCATGTCGATGAAGCTGTGTACTAGCAAGAAGAACGGGATAAGGATACCTACAAACATCTAAGGTGCCTGCACTTCCAATACCAAGTAACACAGTCGGGATGGAAACCAACGCCAATGACGTCAGTTAGGCGCCATATCTTTCAGCGTCTCTAGTCGAGCACAGCCAGTTACTTGTGTCATATGGGGTCAGTTAGGACTGGACAGGTATGACAATAATGACTGAAGTTTGTGAGAAGCCAGTAAGTGGATAGTAAGAGTGTGCCCCAGAGTTGTGCGTTTTCGGGAAAATGAAGGAAAGGAGTGATGAATTTTCACCCGTTAGGGTGGTTGCAAACGGGGAATCGAGTGAATTTGGTAGTGATACAGAAAATGAGGTCGTACAGTGGTGATGAGGCGAAGATAGGCAGGCTTTGTGAGAAATGGGTTAAATGTCATAGGTTAGAGCAGGGAAGGCCATAAGGCGCACAAACTCCTTGTTGACTTTTCCCCACTTGCCAGATTTAGGTGAAAAGTATCCCACCCTAGTACGACATTATTCCGTGATGGGGTGAATCTGAAACTTGGGACTCAAATGTCATTGAGAGAGGGGGGAGGATGTTCGGGTGGGAACGTGAATTGAACCTTCCAGGAGGCCCGAGTAGCAACTAGTCTGATATAAGAGAACCAAAAATCTGGCGAGTCAAGAGGAAAGTGTGAGATTGTTGTGTGTAGCCACAGCCGAAAAGCAACGTATGATTGGAGGTGGAAGGGTGAATGAACAGTAAGACATGTGAGGGTTGGATAGGTTCCGTGTAACTACATTTGGCTTACGAAAGTAGTGAATGAATGAATAATGTCATCGCCCACAGTGTCAATCATCTGCGCGAGACAGATCAGTGTGATTGGTAAGAGGCGACTCTGTGGAAGGTAGCAAACCCCTGAAAATGCATGTATGCAGCCGAAAACGCAGGAAAATAGATTATTTATTAGCAGCAAAATAGTGGGGAGACAGAACAAAAGCCATTAAAATTCTAGCTTTGATACTGCACCTATGAGAAACGGCACCGTTAGGCGAGATTGTTGAGCCCAGTTCGTCGCGAGTTTTCCAGTGCAGTCTGTCAAAACAGGATGCAAGGTTTGGCGAGAAGATTCTAATACTGTATGCTATTCGAAGTGCTTGACATATCCTTGCAAACCAGTTAAGTTCCAGCGAAGGAGTCCAAGTTGATCAGAAGTGAAAACCCTTCATCAGCACATCTCGCCCGAATCCTAATTGATGGCGATGTGAGGAGGCTTGGTAATTTGCAATAGGGATTTTTGTCCTGTCGGTGAAGCCACTATCTGTGTACAGTTGTTCCATCCCTCTTGGCAATTGTCAGCAATGCTCATCTCAAGCAACTCAGAGAGTTTCGAACCCGTGACCTTCCGGTCAGTGGCCGGATGCCCAACCATTTGGCCACGAGTGGCTGGTCAGTGGTTTGATTAGTTCTCACTTAGGATATAGCGCCACTCATCCTTCAATCACGGGAACCACTTGGTCGTGTATTGATTGACTCCTTGAGTGACGACTTCTCAGATGGAAGTTTCACTGTGTACCCTCTGTTGGGAACTTCCCGAATTTCGTGGGATGCGTACTGCTGATGATTCTCAATAAGGATGAAACGCTTACATTGTGGTTTCAGCACAGAGATTGGCTTCACTGATATGGAGAACTCGTTATTATATCGTAATTTCCGGTCGTTCAACGGGGCATTACACTTAGGATTGCACGATGGCCCGTTGCCTGGGTGGATTTCAGGAATTTAGACGAAGTGGTAATGATCGAGATGGGGGCTTGTTCGGGTTGAAGAAGTATGTACGTTTTGGGCGACGTCCTTCACTCTTTAAATTCCGCGTATTAGCGTCGGTCCCCGTGGGTTGAATAGTTCTGCTAGCAGGCTGCCCAGTCGCACTACCTACCCACTTTGTAGTTAATTTATGGCTCTCAGCAGTTCTTTGACCGTAGGTAAGTCATTCAACTAGGTCTTCGCTGTATGTTGGAGCAGATGGACCATATAGTTTGAAGTCAGCATCCCCTGGTCCGTTGAGTGGTGTCAAAAATAGCTGTTTCGAGGTTTTTTCGGACTTATCACATGTTCCACCACTTAGTTTGTCTTCTAGCAGCTGCAGACATCGAATTTTCGGTCCATCTATTTCTTTCAGTGCGCTACGACTGGAGCCATCATTGGTCCAACGTTTAACCCGTCTGGGCCAACCTTCATTTTTTTGCATTTTTCAGGAATACCGCGGAGCTTTTCTTCATTTTTGCTTGGTACACCAGGGACAATAAATATTGCGTACGTATTTGCATCCAACGTTTCCTTTTCCTATACAATTGTGTTAAAATGCTCACTGTTCGCTTCAAGATTACTTTTGTCTTATGAACGTTCCTTATGTGGTGAGGCCATTTCTAGACCACTCGGTATACACTGTGTTCAATGAACTATTTCGAATTGCTTGAAACTTAGTGAATAACATAATCGCCGAATCAGTTACTTCAGCTGGGCTATACCTTCTTCATTTTCTGTTCATACAGGGTTCCCGCAAACTCGTGTTTATTGATCACCCGACTAGGCTGAATGACTTCATCGATCCCGATCAACAAAGACTACCAGGTGGCACGTTAGCCCTTGAGGAAGATCTCCGTGTATTCAACAATGCCTTGAAGCTGTCCCACAAAGACACGAAGGTGGCAATTAAAGTAAGCCCACATTGACTTTGTCAGCTCATTTATAAGCTTTGCACTGCCGATTTCTGAATGCACAACGAACTAAATGTGAATGAGGGTTGTTGATCATCGTTGCACAAATCTGTCACTTGGTTCATCCAAGTTTCCTGGTCATCGATAAATACCCTACAGTACAGGTACACTAGTTTTCGGCACATGACTTTGGTTAGGTGACACTCGTGGATAGGAATGGCAAATATGCTACTAAGCTTTCTGACACTGATAAAGTAGACTTTTGGGCTATTCGTCGACGTGAATGCTGATAAATCGCCTCAGTTACCGTGGGCTGTCGAATTTGGAGCCAAAAAACCTTTTGTAGAGATCCTTCTTACTCTGTCAAACTATGATCGGATTGGTCCTTGTTTGTGTGATCATCATCATCGTCATCGACAGCATGACATCAGTGTTCAACACCGATGCTTCACTGCCGTACAACCATGATTTATTCGAAAGCCTCATCGTAAAGAAAAGAGTGAAGGTGGACGGGGAAGGGCCTTAGTGCTAGCTTACCACAATCATTCCGAGGTACCCATACCTCCAGACACTCACTCAGGCAATCTGGATAGAAACTGACAACAAGAACGCCACTGACATCGGTTGGCAGCCATATCTTGTAGTGCCTCCAACCAAGCACAGTGAGGATCACGCGGTCCCCATCCTGGAAGGCAAATAGCACCGACAGCACCCAAGCGTTTCGTGATCTTCATACTCCTCTTCCAAGTCAAGGGTTGGCCACCTATCTGTTTACGCCACTCCGTATTGGGCATGGAAAACATCATCCTCTCCGGCAAACGATGGTTCGGCATACGTAACACATGTCCCAACCAACGCAGCTCCTGGTGCTGGACACATTCTTCAATGGAAGTATCCGTTGCACAACTGAAAGCGCGCTTTCTAACTGCCTCGTTACGGATTCGCCGACACCAACCCACACGAGCTATGGTCCTGAGACAACGATTGTCGAACACCTGAAGACGTCTCAGTTCCGCTGCTCGAATCGGCCAAGTCTCACAGCCATACAACAAAACAGCCCGTACTGTAGCTTGTGTGAAATTTGATTGCTACCTAGAAGCAATGTTCAACAGAATAACTGTTCAACCGGAAGCTTCCAGGTTATCGATCACTTGTGTATCACGAAAAATGGGTACGACAGAAAGAGGCTGAGAACCACTGACCTGCCGTACGTTGGATCGCTTAAAAATTTATCTATCGGTGGTCGCTGTATCACCCTGTTTTTTCGCTTGATTCTGTCCCAGCAACACATTCTACTATTATTTACCTCGTTGCTGGCTAAGTTGTGCTGGGATTAAGGAAGGAACGGATAAATGCTCATTGTCTACCTTCCTGTCAATGATGGCTGAGTTGTTCCATTTATGGAGTAATCCTATGGAAGCTAAGCTGAGTCCACTAAAATTTGAGCTTTTTAGTCAGGTTTTCTTTTCTAAGATGTAGTGAATTTAGGTCACTGGAGTTGTCGCCCCTTGCTCAGTACTGCTTATCATTAAAAGAACTCTTCTGAGGATCTTGGCACAGATAGTTTCCATAAACTTAGACTTCTATCAACGTTTAAGACGGCCTCGCTGGGTGTAAAATGTTATCATCACAGTATTGCAGGTTGCGGATTGGTCGTCCTAGGTTATTTCAGAGTGAATTTACCACGTCGCAGTCGACCTTGAGCCAGCATGTGTGCTTGAACTTAGATTATGCTCTATTCTCATGACAAATTAGCTCCCTTGTCTTGCGTAATTCTCTGTTGGTTTCCCAATAAAACTGGTCCCTGTGACGTAACACTACCTGAAACTCACATAACTAACCGTTCGTCATGTAAGCCATCAGAATCTGGGGAGACCGACATGTCATTGATAGACACGTGCTCTCCACCTCACTAACTGTTGTGTACAGATCATCACCATCATCAAAGACAGCAAAATCAGTGTTAACACTGATGCTTCATTGCCCTACTCTGTAAATGACATGGTTGTACGAGGGCTGGGATAATGCCAGGGTGCCCACACCTGGACAGGAAGATGATTTGGGTCCACAAGCAAAGCCTTTGGCTCAAAAGCCTAACCGAAAGGCAGCGGTGTTGAGAAAGAAATGCATTCACGCTACCTTTTTTTTACGGAACACATCGCCGCATACGTTCCAAGCCCAAACCTGTGGGACCAGGTGGGATACGGAACGGTTCTTCGATCAGATACAATTTGCTGTGAGGACCCTATATAGGTCAAACGACTGTCCTGCCGCCACAAGCGCTGCCAGTGGGTCACTAACGGAGTACATGTAAGAGCACCCTTTACTTGACTTGACACAATAGTTAAAACGTCATGTATCATAACGTACAACCGTTGCCGTCACTGCGTGTTTCGATCATTCAGGTGTTTAACCGAGGATATTTCTCCCCAAAATTTTGGCTAATAATTTGTAAAATTTTTAAAACTTCCACTGCGGGTCCATGGGAGGAACACTGTTTTTGTAAAAGAAACAATTGCCGTCAAGCTTGATTCATAACAAGTACGCCCACGTATATTAAGTTCTAAAACTGAAAATATGTCTTGTATCATTAATTCATCTTATTTTCAAGGAAACTCATAGACTGCTGTACGATTAGTTGCCGGATACAATTTCAAAGTCCATTCCCTCGGCGTCCTTTCTACAAGGTAACTACCGAATCTCACTTCATTGGCTACACTAGATTCCCCTTCTCTCTTTTCAGGTGTGCACAAATGCTATTCAAGTTACGTCGACTGAGAAAAGCAAGGTTCTCGGACATTCCGTCATCTTGAATGATGTGTACTACGCCTCCGAGATCGAAGAGGTACGTATCCCCCTCATTCACCTATCAGTTTCCTCGTGTACCTTGCCTTCAATATACCGAGCTCATCTTTATCACACTTGCTTTACAGGTGTGCCTCGTGGACGATAATCAGTTCACTCTCACCATCTCTAATGACAACGGTCCGTTGTCTTTTATTCACGACGCTTGTGACTCCATTGTTCAGGCAATCATCCACATTCGCACACGATGGGCCCTCTCCCAGCCGGACACGCACGCAATGCATACTAAAATCAGACCACGTGATGTCCCAGGCACACTGTTGAATATCGTGAGTTTTTGGCCATGATTGATCTGAGCATGCTAGTGCACCAAATGTTTGACTGACATCCATCAAAACCCTTCTTTCTAATTTCGATCTCAGCTTTGTATTGTTTTATTCATTGCCATTCCGTGGTGTGGGAGCATCTTTTTGGTCCATTCCTTATTTTACCTATACACAGAACTTCAGCACTGTGGTGTGTTTGGACATCGTGTAATCTAGTTTATCGAAAAGTAGCATCACTATCCATCTAAAGATGACGATTATCACAAAGGAAACTACTCACAAGGATAAATATTCAACAACTCACGGTCGGTTTCGCCCTTCTTGGAGCTCATCAGGTAGGCGTAGTACCCGAGTTCCCTTCAAAATTATGTCCTACTTGAACCCGAATTGGACAGATTTCGACGCAATCACTCATTTGCATATCAATTTGGCTAACATGGGAGAATCAGTGAATCTACCGAATATCATACCAACTGAAACATGAAGCGGCCTTTGTGCAGCACATTCAGTTGAAGAATATCACAAACAAGGGATTCACTTGAGTCTCTCGTGAAAGCCAAATTGATATGCGGATGAGTATTTGTCGGGATGATGCTCATCCTTCACAACCGCTCTCTTTGCAAGCAACCCACCTGCCCATCATTCGATCGAAACGGTTCTTGCAGAGTTTTGCTCCCAGCCAGAAGATGAAAACAGTGCACATCTGCATTCCCTACATCCCACCAGCAAGTATGCGGACGAGCACTTGCTGTCCACATGTAATGGTCGGTCTTGAATTCCCTTTATATGCCCACGTAATTACGTTTTTATCCATGTCCCACTGTGTTCCATTTTCACCTCACTACATTGAACATATAGTGTTTCGCGGTGTTCTGTATCTCTAGTTGTTATTGTTGTTGTCCGGGAATGTGTCCCAGTTTCCTTGTAACAAAATGCTGTCAGTAAGTTGAACCTACAGCACACATTCTTTCGGAAGCAGCCGACACTGTTGGACATGAGGGTGTATCCGCTATGGACAGTTGTACTTGTTTGACATGGTAAGAACGAACATTTACACTCATAAATCTGTCTTTTTTCATGGTCCTACTTTCATCAGTGCACTTTGACAATACAAAACAACTTGTAGTGCATACGTCCCACGGAATTTACACAAGGATGACCGTTGTTTGATGGTCTTCGATGCAGTTACATGAAACCGAAATTTCAGTGGATTTCACATATGGAAGCAAATTAAGTCTACAGAAAGATTCATGCTTCACAATTGTGTGCTGTTTTGTAACACACTTATCCTTAAATGTGTAAGAAACTGTTATGAGAGCAAATCTAACCAGCCAAAGTGGAAAATTTACCCACCATTTTTGTTCTGGGTACACATACCACCTGTGTATAGTACTCGTGTGTGTTTACGTGGACTGCCGGATTACACAAACGAGGGTTTGTCCGAAAACTCTCACATCACCGAAGGACTTTTGTGCAGTCTGATAATACTCGCCAGGCTTGACAAGATAGGTCAGAAGTTATCTGATCAGTAACCACTAAACACAACCGATTTGCGCATATCCCGACACATCACCAACAGCCTTAACGAACATATGGGTCATAAAACATTGCAAATTCGGACAGTTACTGTGCCTCAGTGATGTGTTTAACTGGTGCAGTAAAATAGTCGCCACATTGAATGCACACCCATAAGGGTTTTGACCGATTAGGTTTATCTCTGGCGATTTTGTACACGTTTCCAGGTTTAGTCGTTACCGAAAATTTCAGCTGTGGGTCACAACTTTTTCAGTTCGAAATTGCAACAAAGATGGAAGTATCGTCAGGTTCGCAACCTGTAGACTTTGTGAGACGGCCTTTGGTAGTTTCATGCGACATCATCATTGTTGATAATTCACTGCCGTAGAACCATAAGATATATTTGGTGAATCCTCAAGTTGGATACTAGATGAGCGGACAGAGGAGGAATCTGGCCAGTCATTTTGAGATGCCTATACCTACAAATTCTCTCCAACAATCTGGGCGGAAACTGGTGGTACGGACGCAACTAGTTAGCAACGCCGCTTTTCGAGATCACGAAGGGTCATAGGGTCCTGGAATGAGGACCACACCGAAAGCGCCATCGCTCATTCACGACGGCTAGACTAAGCATTTCCTCTAGATGAAGCTTATTGCAGACGGTGAAAACTTCAATGGATGCCAGTCTGAAAGATCACAGCGCACAATCACCAGGGCCTCAATGATGTGGACGCAAGTTGCCGCTACGACTATTGTGAAGTGGCTCTCTGCTAGAACCGTGCTTTTCAGATGTGCGACCCTCTTTTACAGGTCGCACCGGAAATCGCATCACAAAATCAGATTACTCATTTTTTTCCGCTATTCATCCCAAATTAGTTCATTGAAAGGGAAAGTAGTCCTACTGGTAGGCCTTGTTTTAGACGAACCTGGGGGTGTTTAGTCTGTTTATCGTTCTGTGCAAAAGAGTTTGATCGGACAGGAGCCCAAAATTGAAGTAAAGAACAAACTTCGGGGTAGTGGATATCCAGCTAGTTTGATTAGGCGCCAGTTACGAAGGGTGTTGGTCCCGGTGGCCAAAGCCAACAGGGAATGGATTGGTACTCCTGTTATTTCATACAAACTAGGGACATCGGAAGTCATTCGAAGGATTTTAAACATGAGTAACGTTGGAGTGCTTTCCAGAATGGAAACACTGCACTGGCGCATTTGAAGCACCGTCACCCGACGAACAGAACCAGGGACGATCTACAACGACTGCACTAAAGTCTATACACATATGATAGACAGCCAGGTAACTTCACACCAGAACCAGTCGAGATGACATGTGGTGATGTGCGGTTATTAGAAAGAGAATTTATCAGCAGAAGCAGCTTAGGTCTGAAGTGCACTTTGTCTCGCCCACCTCCTCCCCCTTTCCCCTCCCTAACTAAATTTTCGTAGCACACTTAAGCCCACACGGACCAGCGAAATCTACTCGTGGTACCCAAGGTGAATCGTCAATTAGAAAGCTAGTTTGTTAGGCGCCAGTTACGAAGGGTGTTGGTCCCGGTGGCCAAAGCCAACAGGGAATGGATTGGTACTCCTGTTATTTCATACAAACTAGGGACATCGGAAGTCATTCGAAGGATTTTAAACATGAGTAACGTTGGAGTGCTTTCCAGAATGGAAACACTGCACTGGCGCATTTGAAGCACCGTCACCCGACGAACAGAACCAGGGACGATCTACAACGACTGCACTAAAGTCTATACACATATGATAGACAGCCAGGTAACTTCACACCAGAACCAGTCGAGATGACATGTGGTGATGTGCGGTTATTAGAAAGAGAATTTATCAGCAGAAGCAGCTTAGGTCTGAAGTGCACTTTGTCTCGCCCACCTCCTCCCCCTTTCCCCTCCCTAACTAAATTTTCGTAGCACACTTAAGCCCACACGGACCAGCGAAATCTACTCGTGGTACCCAAGGTGAATCATCAATTAGAAAACCTTGAAGCGGAAGATTAAGGAACCAAACCCGATTAAAAATAATTTGAAATTCTCCCAACCCATCAACTATGAGATTTAGACAACCACACTAACCGACAAGACCCTTTAATAGACATTCACCGCTGGTCTAGTATGCTAATCTGTAGAAGTCTTACTGGTTGGTTCTCTGTCTGCGGAAAAACCTGATCACTTGACCCGATGAAGCTTTCATGTCAAAAATGATACGCTGTCAAGTTAAAAACTACCGATTGTCTACCGAACCCCTCTGAAACGATGTTTATCGCCCTCTTCCCATTAGATCTGTTAAATCACCCACAGTTTATCTTTTTTATCCTAATTCCCAGGCACTACTCAATTTGGGCAGCTCTGACCCAAGTCTTCGATCGGCCGCTTACAACCTGCTTTGCGCTCTCACGCAAACATTCAACCTGAAGATAGAGGGGCAGTTGCTGGAAACCAATGGGCTGTGCATTCCTGGAAACAACACTCTTTTCATTTCGGAGATCAGCAAACGTCTGGCTCAGTTGGAACCACATCTGACCTTAGAATTCTTAGATGAATGTATACAGGGTTTTAGTCGTTCGAGCATCGAAATGAAACACTTATGCCTCGAATATATCACCCCTTGGCTGCGCAACTTAACACGTTTCTGTCGTTCGGATGACGTCAAGCAACAAAAAGTATGTGCTTATTCAGGTCCACCATAACTCTTAGCTTTCTCTGGCCTGTTTTACCTATGAACTGTGTGTGTCAGTGTGTCAAGTTCAGCAGACCTAACTTTGAACTAAGACTCACTTAGGTACGTTCTCAGTAAATTAAGCTATGATACATCTCGTTGCTGGTGCTTCTTTTCAGAAAGCAAACCTTTACTGGACTATCCAGCCTTTTTCCGACCATTTAGGTATTGAAAGTAAGATGTCCTTAAATCAGGACACTTTTGAATACCGGAATTCTCATACCTGCAAAGGACGGCAAGTGGTTCAAGGTTCCAATTACGCGATTAGATTTCCAAACTTTTCGATTGGGCGAAATAATATACTGCTTTATTTGTAACTCACACATTCATCGCAACAACTCGAAGTTTGACCGATAATGAGTTAGTTTGCTCACTCTGTTTGGTACCGAGCGATTGAGGCAATCGTTAGGTTAATTCGTGAAATCTGAGGCTGGTTCGCAGTGTGGCTGGGAAATCTGGAAACTAAGACGAAAGCATCTGACATTCACCGGCGTCGCATGGTTTTGAAAACGGCTCCAAATGTGATTCTCTGTCAAGAAATTAACCTGCCTCCGCCAAACCGCGCATTGTTTCTGCCCGATCTAAAGCTGTCACCTTGTTGCCGTGTTCAGGCTTCTGTGATGTAATGATCCCGCGGGCTATACCGGCTGAAACTCAGCACCTAAAGGTTCAGCCATGCCAGAAAGGCCAACGGAAAGCACGCCGACGATGAACACCGAGTCCTCGTATTGCGAGTAATCGTATTATGAGGCAGTTTATAGGTAAAGTCGTACTGTCCTCTGCGATAGGAGTGTAAAGGCAGTTAGACGGTTCCCTTAGGCGACCAGCGTGTTCATATTAATGGAAGCAGCGATGCTTCCTCCCGTGGAAGGACAGGTTAGAAAAGGTCGGCCCTAAAAACCGAACACTCCTGTCGCCCAGCTGTTGACCGTGACCTCCGGCACGTTATTCAATACGGTTACAATACTTTTAAAACCAGAGTCGGGTGCCCGTACAAAAGTCACCTGCTTTACGCAGCCGCATTAGGAGCGAGACAGTTATTCCTTACTCCCTGCATCCTCCGGTTAGGCCTGCCCCCTGCAGCCAAGTAGGTCAGACTGCTGATTCGTTGGCTCCTTGAAGGGTCCTCCTATAAAATCCTAGCAGCTGCTGTCTCGCACTCCAGATTATTATCTTAAAGGTTAGGGGCAGGGTCCCTGAACGCAACCCAACTTTTTCCCACTGCCTTATGGGTCAGGCTCTGGAGTCAAAGGCTCAGGGTCAGGTACCTCAACCAAACCCCCTTCTTCGCCTTGGACAACCGGGAAGTATCATTCGCCCTCGCAGCTCTTCGCTCACCGTCCTTCCTTCGCACCCCATCCCCACCCATCGAATGATGCAGTACAGTCAACCCATCTGCCAGTCCCCTAGCGATTGTCTCGTGTGTAAACCATCGCCCAAAAAGTAATGTAAAATAATCACTTACTAACCTCGAGAGATCTGGTCCATGTTACAACCTTTAGTGTCCGTACTCTATGTCAAGTCGAGTAACAGGCATCTCTTGCTGAAACCTTACTTTCCCTCTCTATCGGTGTATGTTGTGTCTCCGAAACACGCATACAAGACCCCACTTCGGTCGTGCTCCTCAAGCCGCTTAGGACGAGCCCAGATGTTCCACATTTGACTCTTCTGTTATCCGGTGATCCTGACGTAATGGTTCGTGGTATCTACGGTGCAGAAGTTGCACTCAACTCCATAGCTGAAGGAGTCTTACTGGACTGAATCCCAGTTAACAGTCGTCTTTGTGCCTTACGGTTGTCTGACTCAATTAGGATCAATGCAGTTCGATACGATAAACGGTGTTTATTTGTCGTATCAGGGTACGCCCCGACAGACTGCAGTTCTGAGTCTGAGAAGGACGGGTTTTATCAAGATCTGTCACTTTGCCGCACGGTTCGGCATGCGCTTCACGTCTGCGAAGTGTAAAGTGATGCCACAAGACCTTGTGGGATCAAACCCAAACCTCATGCATGCAGCTGGTAGACGTGGTGGACAAATTTGTTTACCTGGTCAGTTCGGGGGACTGGCTAGAGATGGAATTAATTATCGAATCGGTTAAGCAGGGGCAGCTTTTGCCAACTTCCGACACCTATGGCGCCGACGTGCCGTCAGTTTGTCTGCTGAGGGTAGAGTTCACATTGTGGCAGTACGATCCATACTGCTTTATGGATCAGAAACGTGACCTCCACGCAGTGTACATTCGAGAGATGTCAGTATTGACCATCGGTGTCTCCGAAGCATTGGTCTGGTCTGGTGGAAACATCGGAATAGTAATGCTGATGTACGCCAGATGGTCCTAGGAATAAAGAACTCACGCGTCATAGGTTACGCCGCTTAGGACATTTGCCGCGGATGCCGGACCGTCTGCCTTGCAGAACTCTTTTCGCCCATCCTTGTACTGATTGGAAGCGACCGAGAGGTGGACAGTTTATGACCTGGCAACTAACTATGAAACACTAACCAGTAAACTTAGTCGGGTCGACAACTGTCGCCTCCCTGGATGGGGACCCCCGGAATCAAATCCATCGGTGTTCCGAAGCATTGGTCTGGTCTGGTGGAAACATCGGAATAGTAATGCTGATGTACGCCAGATGGTCCTAGGAATAAAGAACTCACGCGTCATAGGTTACGCCGCTTAGGACATTTGCCGCGGATGCCGGACCGTCTGCCTTGCAGAACTCTTTTCGCCCATCCTTGTACTGATTGGAAGCGACCGAGAGGTGGACAGTTTATGACCTGGCAACTAACTATGAAACACTAACCAGTAAACTTAGTCGGGTCGACAACTGTCGCCTCCCTGGATGGGGACCCCCGGAATCAAATCACCAGTGGTTAATGACACTGACAGAAATGTCCCAATTGCGCAGTCACTGGCATTCGTGCATCAAGGCTATGCCCTTCAACGCGTAGCTACCCAGTTCCCGAACTAACCAAACATGCCATCGCCTCCAAAACATTGCTGTATGTACAACTCTCCCAATTCCCGGTGATCGAAACTGTAGCAGCTGGAACCAACGTGCCTATGGTACACGGCTTATAGCTGATTAATTGAATTGAATTGAGTTGACATTGCTTCTGACTGTTTCGGTAGAATGGAATTATATAATCATACAGACCGGACAGATGAAATGTTATCCCTCGTTGTGATAAGCCCCACAATGATCGAAAGAGATGGGTAGATTGGACGATTGCTAAACTATGTCGTTAGCCCTAAAACGTTTTTGCTTCAGCTTCAAGTACCCCCCAGGTGAACTATCATAACTTTTCGGCATTCTAAAACCATTGAGGGGAAATACTTTCTATCTACTCAGTCGTATGGTCGAATTGTCCGTTTGACCAATAGGTTTGACTGTTTCACTCTGAGTGCTAGCCGCACTATTGCTTGACTTTAATAAAAATACCGTGCGAACAACTTGAACCCACTGGTACCCTGTTTCCCCGAACCGTCTATTCAACAAGAGCGGTAGTGACTCCCTGGGTATAGTGAAGAAAGACTTATGGATAGTATTTCCCTATTTCCGGGATGAATAGCCAGCACACAGCCACCAACCATTACGCAAACATTGATTTGTCAAACTAATCAAGCATGCCGAATTGTATTAGAGAAAGTTGCTTGGTTATTCTCAACAAGCTGACTGAATCTGAGTTCCTTTATCTCCTCTGCTAAGAATCAAGTTAAAGTTATCTAACAACAGTATACCGGCTAATTTACATAGCAGATGCCCTTCACACTATGACAATATTCGGTTTTTTGTCCTCTTTCTTTGTTGCCCTTTACAGCATGGACTAACATGTGTTCATCTGCCACACGGCACGTCCCATTGTGTCTGTTTTCTTTTCGATCCAGACATTAAATAATTATGTCTGTCGTTAGTTACGTGACATTTGAGGTTGTACCCGAGATAGTTCCTCCCGAGTGTTGCCTTCATCACTACTTTTTCACCCTATCTGTAGGTCCTATCCATCATCGACAAGCTGATCACCTTGACCATTGATGAAGAACAAATGTACCCATCGATCCAAACGAAAATTTGGGGTAACTTGGGACAAGTTCCGCAATTAGTGGGACTTGTGTTGGACAGTTTCATTCAGCGCTCAGTGAGCTGTGGTCTTGGAAGTCTGCAGGCAGAGATTATGGCTGACACGTCGGTCGCTTTAGCAGCGGCCAACGTGCAACTAGTGTCCAAGAAAGTTTTGTCGAAGCTCTGTCGAGTAAGTGCAGCGTTCCTTTATTATGTTCTCTCTCCGTGACTCGCTCTTTGCTCTCTTCGTGACTAGCCACTTGTTATTTCAAACACTATGTGGCACACTAGTTTGAGATTTGGAACGGAAGGCCGATATAAGTTACTCTGCGCTATCCACCCCATTATCTCTGTTTTTTGCAGTTCATTGAAAAGACCTGCTCAGCGCCTACCACACTATTGGAACATCATCCACTATGGCCTGAAATTGCACCGATGCTGCGTTATTTGCTCATGTTGTCGTTCAACAACTGTATAGACAGTAAGTTACTGTTTTTTTTTCACCAACGTCACTTGAATTTCTTCTACGCACTAAATACCAACGTCACTTGATTTCTTCTACGCACTAAATACTGTGGTCGTTTTTCCCCACTTGGATGATAAAATCATAAGAACCCTGCCCAAAAATGGGAAAATTCCACAGGCTGCGTGACCCATACATCTGAGGACTTATCAACGAATATCGGGTTATTTGATGCGAACTCTGTTCTAAGGATGGTAAAGCTTTGACTCAACTATTGTTGACGGGCTACTGATGTTGGAGTGAGGTACTCTCCGAAACTTGTGTAAAGCGCACCGCCGATGATTCTCAACAACTTGAAGAATGTCATCCTATCGAAACCCCAAAATCTCTTCAGTATTCATAAATCACCATCCATGCTGCTGAATCTGTGGCGATTTTACTTACTTGTTCAGATTCAGTCCCAGCATGAGTCGGCCTTCCAGATGCCCTCTACTTTTGCAGCCGACGAACGGCATTCACGCACTGTGATTCAATTTTGTTTTCGCAGCGGATACGGCTATGCCGAATCATTCTCTCACGACGGCCATCCACGTGTTCAGATGCCCGCATTGACGACAACCCTTCTTTCAATATTTTGGAAGAGCCAGTTGGTGTTAACGAGCTGGTCCTAGTGTTTTCGGACCACAAGGCTAACCCATTGAAATCATCTTCGCTGCACTAGCTTCCTGTAAAACGAAGTTCCAGAACGCATTTTCCAATCATCTGATTAGATGTTTTTTCTGAGTAGTAAACCCGCCGAAGGAAATAATCGTATCGAGCATCACTGTATCCCCTTCGGCCAGAACCACTGTTGTTGCAGCTATTAAATTTGTACAGAAACGAAACCATGACTTTCTGTCTTTTCACCACGAGCATTTCACTTAGCAGTGTGTGGTTTCTCAATAATCCAAAAAAGTAGTCTGGTATCCCCCCCTTCCCATGCTCTACTTGAGAACACTCGGATATGTCCCTCGGATGATGGTACACGTACAAATCCGGACGGGCGACAAGAACGATAGCCGACCGAACTGTAGTGACGATCGATTGCCCTCAAAACTAACTAGCTGCAACGGTTGGGTTATACCCGTGTAACGGTGATACTACTAATGGGGATGCATGCGAGTAGTATGTGTTGTTCTTGGAATTTCGCTTTGCGCCTCTTGAAAAGGCTAGATCTGTTGCGGAATTTGTGAAGTCGCTTTGTAACATTTGCTTGGATTTGTGCAATGAATATCCAGGAAAGTTCAAGTATCCCCTTCGGCCAGAACCACTGTTGTTGCAGCTATTAAATTTGTACAGAAACGAAACCATGACTTTCTGTCTTTTCACCACGAGCATTTCACTTAGCAGTGTGTGGTTTCTCAATAATCCAAAAAAGTAGTCTGGTATCCCCCCCTTCCCATGCTCTACTTGAGAACACTCGGATATGTCCCTCGGATGATGGTACACGTACAAATCCGGACGGGCGACAAGAACGATAGCCGACCGAACTGTAGTGACGATCGATTGCCCTCAAAACTAACTAGCTGCAACGGTTGGGTTATACCCGTGTAACGGTGATACTACTAATGGGGATGCATGCGAGTAGTATGTGTTGTTCTTGGAATTTCGCTTTGCGCCTCTTGAAAAGGCTAGATCTGTTGCGGAATTTGTGAAGTCGCTTTGTAACATTTGCGTGGATTTGTGCAGTGAATATCCAGGAAAGTTCAAGAAGACGCGCCCAGGAGAAGATGGATGTCAAGTTTTTGTAAATAAGATGTAAATGAGAGTTTTGCATCCCTGTCCAATGGTCTGTAACCGGTCGATTAACATTTTCTAATAAATGACCCCTTTCATCCGTAGCAGTCCCAAGTCTGTTACGTAAATGCCCACAGAAGTGTTAGATTGTAGTTCGCACTGATTACACAATCTCTCTTGATGTTTGGATTTTAGTAGGGTTCTTCTAAATCTCTGGTGATCGGTTTAACTAGTTGTGTTTTATGTCATTCTCTACTCTTCGTTCCAGTTCGCACCCACCTACCTAGACTGTTTCACATTGCCACTCTACTAGTCTGCACTGGACCGTTATCGCTTCGAGCTTCAATGCATGGATTTGTCATCAATGTAATCCACTCGTTATGCACTTCGGCATTGGCAAAGCAACTCTCAGGTGGGTTGAAAGCGGGTGATAACTAGCGTTTTCAGTGTCCTGAATGTGTGATGATTTGGGAGAAAACACCTCCCGCACGGGATTCTTAGGGTGGGGTGATTCCATACTCTGATTCCCAGATTTGTCCGAAACATTCTGACTGGGTCTTCCTGTTTTCAACTTCTGCTTGACGATGTCCTTCATTTCCAACTATTTTATCCTCCGGTCTTAATGGACTTGTGTGGGCGAATGCCGAAAAATTCGCAACGAGACCATCAGTCAGCAAGTGTCCGGTTGTACAATACAGACCTCAACCGAAGGATGTGTCCAGCACCAAAACGTACTGGTTTCCGTGCCCAATTCAGACCGGCACAGGCAGAGAGGTAGTTAAGCTTCGATCCAGCAGAGGCTATGAAGGCGACTACGAGAGCTCTTTGTATTGTTAATGGGACTCGCCTTACAAGATTGGGTCCGCGTTAAACCCCCTTGAAACATTGCAAGAAGTAGCTGCTAGTCGATGTGCTGTTTCAAGTCACTATCCAGATTGTCTGAGTGGGTGCCTGGTGGTGTAGGCCCCCGGAATGGCTGTAGTAGGCTAGCACTAGGTTTCCTCCCTATCCCCTTGTATCCTTTTTTTCACAATCAGGCGTTCAAAGTAACTGTGAATGTACTGCAACGAAATGTCGCTGTGGAACACTGATTCTTTCAACCTGTTCTTATCCTAGAAGAACTGTCTCAGATTAGCTTGCTATCCGCGGAGTGTCTAGGCACATTAATGCAGCGTGCCCCTTTATAGAGACAGAATACAGACAAGCACAATAAGAAGAAAACATGCTAATGAATCTCTTAACCAAACGCATCAAAGCGGTCTCTTGTCACGGTAACTCCTATTATAGGTTCTGTAGTACGCATGATAGATCAACGATCAGTGATGGGCAAGCGTCAATATGTATTACTGCTATCCTCCTGCCAATGATTCTGGTGAGAACCCATTTGAACAGAACAGCTGTAATGTCTCTGCATCTGTTTTATGAAGTCAAATGTGAGGCCCGTATCCAAGTAGCCTAACAGGTTATTCACGATCTTATCCACTTGATTACCCGGGCCGAGTGGAAGGCTATTAATTTCTGGGTGCAAGGCACTGACAGATCAGATACTGGTCACTCTGTCACCCAGTTGCTTCTGGAGGAGAAATTTAACAATCCTTGAGCTGTTGCTGCATCTAGTCGGACAGTACGTTTCCTCCTTTATTTTGAAACGGATAGGATGAGTGGCAGATATGATCGTTAGTGCGAGATGTCCTCCACCCTGCGGAAGTCTCCGTTGTGAAATGCTTGGAAAGGACCGGATTAAGGGTTCCTTCTAGATAGAAATCATTATACCTAAATCTTCATTTCTCCACCTACTGCTGTACCTTTAGCTGTTTGCAATTCTTCAGAAATCTACTGAAGCCACGCTTTTTGGATTTACGATAATGTGAAAACTTCTGTTGCTGTATGTAATTTTATTGCTGTCACTTGACTTCAGATAAAACTGTTCAACAACTCCGTCAATTACTGGCTGAGTTCACGCTGCCAAAGTTCTACGAAGTATTTGGAATTCAACACTGTAAATGTGCCCCGATCAGTGCATTCCCTCATTTCCGCCCCGGTGAACGATCCGGTCTGGTTGTAAGCGGTACTGTACCTCAGCCTTTGGTTGTACCCCTGACCCACGCTTTATCAGCTGGTGCGACGGTCAATGCACCAACCGCACCGAGTAACCAAACAGGTCGTGGAAGCATTAGTAGCGGATGTAGCACCAGTACAAATGAATCAAACACGTCCCTACCTACGGCGGATAATCTGTCCAAACCTGGGGCACTGCGCACTGGAACCGCTGCTCCCTACACCACCTACGGTGCAAATGAACTAAGAAAGAAATCTACCGCTAGCCCGAGTAATCTTGGGCCTCCGTCAATAATCCTAGTGGATGAAGAAACATCTGTTGATTCAGCGAATCGTCTTTTACATGAGCCTTGTTCAGGCACGTCAATGGACTCTTCACGCCACACAGCTGCTTATTCCGCAACCCACACAGGGCCTACGGGTGGAACTATTTTCTCGTTGCACAACCAGTCTTCTCGAGATGGATTCAGTTTGATTACGGGTGATACTCAAATGCGGAACAATCCATCAATATCTCCACGTCTTGTTCCTTCAGAATCCCCTCAGTTTGGTTTCTTAAAGCTGCCGACTAGCACGAGCTCCTGTATCCACCCATCACTCACTGCAACGCCATACGGACTTATCACAACCCCAGGGTCGCAGTTAGCCGCAAGCTCCGAGGGCCTGGACAGGCCCGAACGCTTGACACTCAGCTCTTTGGAATTCCTCACGGACACGTTACTGGAAGTGATGAGTCTCGTAATAAAGGAAGTACCGGAATTTACGCACTGGCTTGAGCAGTGGACCAATTTGGCTCGAAAGTAAGTTGATCTTTCTGAGGTCTCCATTATACTTTATCTGGTTTGCTGTAGAATATCATTCTGCGAACTAATACAGCCCCCCCCCCCCAGAGTGGCCACTCCCCATAGCGAACACTTCCTATATGAGGATTTTTGCATAAGTATGCAAGTTTCAGAGGATTTTTGTAGTATTGAAGAGCTGCTCTTCTAACCTCTACGCCGAGTAATCTCCCCCAAAATGGCCGTCGTCATTATTCCCCATTGTTTCGCCGTGGTTTTGTCATTGTTTACGTGTGATATAACCTACGAATACAGGGATAATGTAGGCAAAAAATGCACCGATTAGCAAGCTATAAGTCAAGTTGTTGCTTAGCCGCTATCCGCCCACTTCAACCCACTCAACTGCGCACCGCGGTTGCAAACATCTCTAGGCTGTCAACAATTTACTCACTGACCTGATGGAACATTAGAGTGATCCTCTTGATGCTACGATTCCAAGTCTATACTAGTGTGCGCAGTGAATTTTCCGCCAACCTTATTCGTCGGTTGTCTAATTGCTGCAGAATCACTCCCCTGGGCTTGTGATTTTTGCACTGAGATTCCTGGTTCATCGCACCAGAATGTTAGGTTTTTGATTTGTGATTGCGCGATCTTCCGCGCTCAGTTTTTTTTGGTCAGAACGTTTTCCACATGGCACCTGGTATTTTTCAATTAATTTCATGTATTCCACCACCACACCCAGTCTTTGCAAAAAACTTGCTTTTTTGAGTGCCATCTATGTTCAGTCGGCCCAGGATGTGAGTTTGGCGTAGTCACACGTCTGCAAACGAATTCCAAAGATCAAACACATTCGGTCGTGTTACATGGATCATCTTGTTTCAAAGGGCTGGCCGATTAGAGTGTAGGACTCGTTTTCCGAAAAACCGTACTTTTGAAACGCATAAGTCACTGAACAGTTCAGCGGTACTCGATCATTTTATCAAGTTACATCAATTTATATTTTAGTATTTTTGTTGCGCCGGTCTGATTTGCAAACGCCATATGAATGCGCGCTCATTCCTTTCTATCTGGCATTGTATTCAAGGCATAAACCTTAGCTAGTATCAGAAAGCGTAGAAGAGGTAGGCTGCGTCTTTATTTATGGGTCGTCTAATCTGACTGAGAAAGGTACGTAACTCTCTCCTTAGCCAGACAGCCCTGTTGCAGTATACTGAACAAAATGTGCACATACACGGGTTCTCCTACATAGCGGACTGTAGAAACTCCACGATTTCATTGTGGCTTATTGGTCAATTTACGATTAGTCCAACGAACGGTGAGTACACAGAAGACTCTCGATTATTTAACAATAAATAATAATAATAATAATAATAATAATAATAATAATAAATAAAACCCTTTCAGTACCTAGCTATCATGCCACCCGAAGGAACACGTGGGCTGTGATACTGCCAGGTTGCCCAAGCCTAGACAGGGGAAGTTGAGAGGCAGAGGTCGGGTTCAAATCTGGATCTTCCGGTCAGTGTACTTGCGCTCCAATCACTTGAGTCATCTCGCTCCCGTATTTTTGACTATCAATCTGCGTGTTTAGCTTTACATGACTCTTACAAATGAAACCTTGAATTCGAATCACCCAACTTGATTGATGGAACATCAGAAAGTCAAAAGTCTACTTTGAAACCAGAAAGCATGTGGCGTTCTGCGCAATCTTCTCGGTCAGATCTAAGAATTCATGGCTTCCCTCGCAAATGTTCATTCCCGTTTTCTCCGTGAATTTCCATTTTCCGTGGAAATTTTCGCGCTACACAGAAAACACGGGTTCCTGACTACGAGTATTGTCAGGCCATACCACCTTAACCAAACGAAAAAAGAAAAAGGGTTACGTAAGCGAAATGGACGGACATTCAGTGGAGTGTATTGCCTGTTGTCGCAAGTCCTGCATAACACATGTACAGAGTGATTTTAAATAGAGTGGATAGGTCGCATTTCGTTACCATAAAGGAATTCCTAGCGGCTGTTACCCAGCTCCACACGGTCGTAATCTTTTGAGCAATTATTGCATGCAACGTTTATATATCAGTATTTAGTGTGTTGATTCAAAAGTAGGTATGAAGCGGATGCTATGTAGTGGATGTTTCAAGGTGCAACTGTCCTTTGTTGAATGTTTCAGTTTGTTATTGTACAACTTTCTCCGTCTCTATCTCTCTCTCACTATAGTCGTTTTTGGGCTGACTTGGTGACCAACAATCTGATGTGTAACCATACAAGTATGGTCACTGGACTCGTAATGAGCTTATGCGGTGGAAGTCACAATCCCGTTGCAATTTTGAGTCCCAGTCTGGGCGAAATACGCTATGCATTACCAACACCTTACAGATATCGAGCAATAGTCCACTAAGTGACCAGGGTCCTGGTTCTCCGACTCTCCTGCTGTGGACACCCTTCGTGGCACAGTTAGGAATGACTTTTCGGTTTGTGTTGTATGTGGAAGTTAATTACTTTTTTGAGAACGTCTCAGATTATAGACATGCAGTTCATGAAACCAGCGACTTTTTCATAACCAATTAACCTGGAAAACCGTTTTTTTCACATGCACCAGTCAAATAACAAACGCATTCCCAAACGACCAAACAAACGATCTAGTAAAAAGCTACCTAGATGTAGCTTTGAAATGACTACAATGGCAAAACCAAACAAACAAAACAGTCACTGCTGTCGAATATTTTCTTCCACACTAGTTAAATTTATCTGTACATTGTGTTGGTGCATGTTCCATTTCATATTCTGATATGAAATACCGCCGTTTCGTCATACGATCGTCTTCTCAAACTGTTCAGTACTAAGTAAGGGATTACTTATTGACTATGCTTTCGCTTTTGAATTGCATATCACCGCGTTATTCGGGAACACAATTTGAGGCATGGCCCAGCAGGATCAGGTGACCATTTAGATCGCCCCTGAACTTGTTTAATATTTTCAAGCACAACACCAAAGATGTATAAGACGACGAATCTTACTTCTCAGCCTCATAGTTTTGGCCTCCATGCTCATCAACTTATTCGCAACTGGAACCCATTCTCTCCGGAAATCGAAACCTTATTCCCCCTTGTTCAAGAAGAGTACTTAAACCCCACATGCATTTGTTGACTAACTTCTGTGCACATTGATCACATCCGTAATCATCGATTCTGATGTTCTATCTGTCACGATGATGATATGTCCCCACCCCCATATGCAAAAGAAAAACGCAGTTCTTCCCCCTTGTCCGATATTTGGAGTTCATGGAAATGCTTTTAGTTGAATATCAGCTTCAGCATACTCTGAGCTGCCCGCCAATTCACCGATCCTTTGGTTTTTCTCCCCAGATTCGCATTTCAGAATAATCCGGCACTCCAACCTCGTGCTATAATAGTACTTGGCTGCATCTGCAAAGGATTTACCGACACCGATATCAAACAGCTGTTGCGTATCATGTCTCGAGCTCTGGAGTCATACGCAAATGAGTTGGATATGGAGAAAGATCTTCGTCATCGGACTGTTGACACCGGTCAAGCAGGTATGATTGATTCCGTTGAGTTCTGTTTCCGTGATATTTTACTAATCTCATAAATTCCTTTGGTGCTTGCTCTTCCTGTTGGACTGGGCCGAAAAAAGGGTTTATGGTAAATGAGGCAACCTGCTCGGTGGTGCTAAACTGTTTCCGGCTCGTATCTTTTAAGTCTGTCAAGCCTTACACTCTACCTATCTCGCACGTCCGTCAAGGCGTTTCACATAGGTCCTTTCCAAGAACTGTTGGCCTAGACCTAGTGTGTGTCCTAAAGTCCAATTCGTACATTTGCACTTTGCATTTATTTCCTGTTCGGTATTGTTTTATATGTGCGTTTATGGTCGATATGTCAAGCCTTCTGGGTATGAGTCGTTTGGCAGTATGAGTACTTGACCAAGGTTGACGTATACTAAAACGCTTGAATGCATCATACAGCCATGAATCCTCATTGAAAATCATCAACAGTATGCATCTGGATACTCTGTGAGTAGCTAGAGCCCCACAGACTGCGAGATAACAGTTGTATAATGTCACTCAGCAAGGGGTGGCTGGTCAGCAGTATGCTATGCTATTTTAATGACACCTAATGTACCATCTTATTTGACCACCGATACTTATTTCTTCCCTAGTTGCCTACCTACAGTTGCGAATTTCTGGATTGATTCTGCTATGCAATATCAGTCCTCGATAAGAAACCGAGAAGCATCGTATGAGAACCATCAGAGGTGTGAAGTCACGAATTTCGGGCGAGATCCTATGTTTCCTTGTTTGTATATTGTATATCCCATGTGTGTCGGTGGAACAAATGCCTGATAGTGTTGAGAAGCGGTACCGAAACCTCGGAACTCTTGCGTTGAATTCCCTTAACCAAATTTCTCGTACAAACAGTGACTCTGAAGTGGGCCTGTGCAAGCGATCAGCTATTCAACATCCAGGTTCTGATTTTCACCCTGAACACACAAAACCTAAAACGTGTCTGCCTGTCTGTTCCGATCACTCTTTCATCTTGGTATCCACATTCAAGACCTGGTGGCTCGGGTCTACTGCGTGCGTGGCTTTGTAACCCTCCAGTTCCTACCATTTGACTGCCTTATGGTTTTGCCGAAAGTACCACTGACTTTAGAACTTTACAAAACTGTACATAGTTGTTTTGGTGCAAGCTGTTCTTGACTAATTCATGCTCAGTATTCAGTGCTCCATATTATTTTTGACTGACACGCTCGAATTCGCTCTCCATCAGTTTTGGTTGGGCTGATGTTGAAATTCATCATTCCCATTTATGGATCATTCCTAGTAGATATACCTGACAAACCCTGTGAGGACCATGTGCGTGCGTTGTATCAGCTGCCTTGCTTTTAATGCCTCATTTCAGAACTCTATCTGATTGAGTCGATCATCATGTGCCTGACCCGCCTATTACCATTGTTACCCGCTAATTCGGCTACTCATCTACCGCTATTTTGGGTTGCCTTGGGAGTACTACAACTGGATGAAGTGTCTCTCTATGCCGCTGGTCTCGCTTTGCTGGAACAAAACCTTCTCACTCTGGACGAGCACGGGACGTTTGAACAGGACGTGAGTAAATCTATTCTAGTACTGAACAATAAAACGGAAACGGTTCACACATAATTACCTAGGAACCTGCTCCATGCATCAAGCAAGTCAATTGGTGAAGCTGCACTGTAGTCAACTGACTCGATGTCTTCTCCTACCAACTCCTCTGACCTTGGCCAAACTATTTCTCTGCTGGCTCGCATCTTAGTTTGGTAGTCAGATAGCTTCTTTATGTCCGGTACCCCATGTGCACCCTATTCGACATACTGAGGTATTTCTCCTTCTCAAGTTGATGAACGGTTCGTGCACCGTAATCTTGTTTTAACCGGATGCGATTTCCCTTAGCCTGATAGACCTGTTCATGGTATTTAACGGTTCGATTTTTAATGTCTAAAGGCATGCTGAGTGTGCATGCGGTAAGCAGGTGACTATAATATTCTTGTTAAGGCATTCAGGTGTTCTGTGGACACAGATGAAAGGCTTTAAAGTGAGTACCTGAAGAACCAATAAACCACTGAGAACAGCTTCAAAATCAGACTCGTGAAAGTGAAGCAAGCTGTCAGTAATGGGTGAGAAATACAACACCATTCAGTAGATATGATGAATCACCCGAGATTTCTCATGGATCAACCATAGGCACAAAAGTTAAACAGTCATCGAATGTGGAGGAAAACGCTGAATATATTCCGAAGTAAGCTAGCAACGTTAATTGATTCACCCTCAAAACTACTGAATTAAAGAAGAGAATTGTCACATATGAGCACGATTTTGGTATGCTCTTGGTTGCTTCTTCACTTTTCGTTGTTGTTTAGTAGGTTATTTTTCTGTTTTGTACACATCTAAATGGTACTTTTCAGAATACAGTGCCTTTTTTATTTGACCGCACGTACGACAGCAACAACTTCTACAATACGACCTTGCAGTTATGCTTGTCCTTTTTTCTCTTCGTACTACAACCGAATTCTCAGGCAAGCTGTTATTGAGTTATTTCCAATGTGTTTTCTTTTGGCTGTTGGTCCAAAAGTTAGCAACATGAGTAAGGAACTACTTGGAGCAATAAATAAACCGGGTGAGAAGCAGCTGTCCGGTTTAGACCGGTGGTACAGCGTTAACACGCTTCCCTTGAATCTCAGGCGACCGGTGTTCGAATCCTTGTAGAGACAACGATATGTACTGTCGGTGAGCTTTGGTATTCTATAGAGGAGAATGTTGGTAGCTCAGGTAGCGTAGATGGTCGTTGGCTTGTTCGCTGAGCTGGGCAATTTGGTTGCAAACGTTTCATCACCAATCGAGGTGACATCATCAGTGCGTAGTTGTGCGTGGCGGTGGGTTAGTGGTTGTGCACAACCACTATGCGCTTAGTCGTGGCCACTGATTGCGTGACGCTGAAGTAAGTGGTGAAGATTGCTGACCAAAGGGACGTGCGACCGATTTTGCTTCATCCGCTGATTGGTTCGGAACCAGGACATTTATTTTCAGGATTGTATCCTGCTACCAGCCAAGTCTCTTTGGCTGGTGGTTATAAGGTCCTCTACGAGCATCGTGAAAAGGTTAGGAATAATAAGTGACTGCTCTGAAGTAGTCGAATTTCCAGAGGAATTTGTGTGTGAGCTAAGCGGAGGGATTGTACGAATACACAAATTTGTTGTGACTCTAACTACTGTTCTCGTTATAAGTAGCTGTTGTATTGATACATTTCTGGAGGTTCCATGTCCACCACTGTTTTGCGGTCGTAGGCACTGATTTTCGGCAGATGCTCTTCTCACCCTCTGTTTCGCTAGGTTCTTTCACCCCACAGTACCCATGTTCCTACTATCACACTCTTTCACGGTACCTTTATGATTATGCTATTTGCACCAGAAATGTGGCAGACTGACTTGTTCAGGACAATATAACTCGGTACCATCACGCTATGTTTGAAACCGGTTAAACGAAATGTTTTATGGTTCCAATTAGATTGTTTTATTTCTACTCCCGTGTTTCTCGCAGTCCTTGCAAACAGTCATGATGCGTTGTCGGGAGCAGTTTATCCTACAGTACAAACAAATGGACCACGCCGTCGGTCTGAGCTTCCGGGACAGCTTCCACTTCGCCCTTGTTGGTCATCTTCTTAAAGGGTTCCGCCATCCCATACCCCAGACTGTGGCACGGACTATCCGCGTTCTGAACACACTGCTCAGTATTGTGGCAAAGCCTTTGAATCGGTAGGTCTAACGATTTCAGTACAGTATTACTGTTTCGAAAGTGCATGACTACATGTCTGCTCCCTAGATAGAGCTAACGAGGAGCGTCGTAAACTTAGCTTATTTGTAGAAATCCAAGTAATTACCAATGAAATGAAGGAGGTCTTCGCCGCAAAGTTGTTTATTGGAGGAACACCAACCAACTGAACAGCTACAGACTAGTAAACAGCGGAGCAAAGCTCTCATCTTCTTGAACGCGTCTTCCTGAACTTTCCTGGATATTCATTGACTGTTACTTAAATGCAAGCGAATGCTACAAAGCGAATCCACAAACTCCGTAATAGATCCCACTTTTCAAGAGACCTGAAGCGGATTTACGAGAGGGCGCTACTCGCATGCCTCATCAGTAGTATCCACCGTTACCAGTTCCTAATTTGCGGACTTTAATCCTTTTCTTTCCTTAAGAAGGCCATGTTAATTTTCTGTGTAATATTCTGGTGTGCGTATTATAATGACGCTTCTAGCAGTTAATAGTTCAGATTTCGGAATATACTTAATGGTCAACTCCCTCGGTTGCCACAGAGTGAAGTCTGGTGTATCATTTGATCCAAAACTTTTGTGCGCTCCCCTAAACTGTATTGATGCAGGCGGTTCCCATATATTCGACCCCACTTGGGGATCACAATTATGGCATAACCCGCTTTGCACCCATGTGAACCAGAATTTTTGTTTACCCATACTCTATCTTACATCCTCATGTTTGAAATTTTACCGTTTGTTTGACCAATTTCAACTTTCAACCAACGGTAGCTGTTCTAAGGGGAATCGGTTCAAAAGGACCTTTAAAAAGGGTCATGAATGGTTCAGAAACCCGTTTCACCATTGATATCGAGTTGTACCCGACCATCATAGGAACGCTCGACGACTGGCACTAAGTCCATAAATGGCCTCGTCTTTCAGTATGAGCGAATTTCCTTGTCAAAACTGTGACCTCTTATCCTAACTGTCCTCCCAGTGCCCAGTGTTGCAGCAGCCGAAGTTAAACCTTTCGATGATATCCTCTCCGTAAACTTCGTTTCATTTCTTGTCTCTTTCTCCTGTTTGGTAGTGCGTGATTTCATCAGATTCGATAATCGCTTCTCGACTTATTTTGGTCCGCGCTACCTGGAACGTACATTTTGATTCCTAGCTCGATAAGTTTTCAGTAGTGTTTCTCACCATCTCCGAATGATTCCACCTCCTGTTGACTATACACTGGTTATCCTGTGCTTCAAAATGTTCTCAGTTGCAAAAGTTACATGAAGCGCAGGGTTAAAACACTCCGAGTGTTTTCCTACCTCCGTTACGAGTGTGTTCACTATTCACTTGGATATGCCATGAGTGTAGTTACCCGATTCTAACTTTTTCAGTGATTCAATTCAGGTTTTGTTCATTTTGCACCTTCCATGCGACGAATCCAACTCAGTAACACAATGTGAAACGTACATAATTCATCCCTTATGTTCTAAAATCTTTCTACAGCGACAAATACCAAGTGACGAAAGACAGTGTAGCTTATCTGGCGGCTTTACTTCCTGTCTCTGATGAAGTTCGGAAAAGATGTCGTTTGAAGTTCAGGGTTCCCGGTACTTTGGCCGGGCCTGGTGAGCATCACTCTCCGGGTCTTCATGCCCATGGACAGCCTAATTCGCCCTTCGGTTCGACCGCTGTTGGCGGCCCACCACCGAAAGGCTGCACTGCAGCTACTAGCAACCTTGGTGACTGGTGTGGTTCAACCGAAAGCCTGCATGAACTGACTAATTCTGGTCGGCCCTGTGCACAGCGCACACCCAGTGCAGTAGGTTTGTTGCGGTCCTTGCTACCAAACCCGGTCACGAACACCGTGCTTTCCTCCCGATTTACTCGACTACGTCAGGACAACCTGTCAAATCTGACATTATCAACAAATTTGGGCGCAGATCGCTTTTCTTCACATGCCGTCGACCACCATGGACAAACTTATCGTTCGTTTCATGGACGACATGTGGAAGGGGTGAGTTTTCTTCTACCAGGTCGGACATTCTGATTCGAAATCTTTTTCCGTTTTGAAACGTTCACATTTCACATGAAAGGTTGCACACCAACTGTGGGATATAGATTATTCAAGGTTAAAGGCTGTCTGCATGTAGATTAATTCATAGGTTTCTCACTTTAGATGGCAACTCTGTGTGAGAAAATAAGTTGGCTCCCGTGATATCTCATGAAGAAGTAGTGGAAATATCTTCCCAAAGGTAATGTTCACAACACCACACGGATTTCGCTCCGAGATGCACATCTAGTCTCCGCTCAACCGAGTGCGACCATGAAGACAGCAAGAAAAATAGGAAGAGCCTTCGACCTAAATCGTTCTCTCGCTGAGTGGACCTTCATCCAATTAAATCCGTCTGTCACGGAGTGTAACGACGCTAATGTCACATGCCAATGGCTACTTTGATCTACTATTGAAGGTTTCACGTCTGGTGGAGTTGCTGTCATGTGATATTGTAACATCGAAACTATCCCATAAGCCATCATAACCAGCTTCGGTATAAGTCCATTCAACGGACTCTGTTACATCATGTGTTATCAGAAGATAAATTATCTGGAGCTCTTCCCTTGCTTACATCTTTAGTTGGTTTGTTTTAATTTGTCTCAGCCCCGTCACGCTCTGCACCGTCAGCTGGGATTTCAAGGGATGCCTGAAGGTTTGCGATCTCGCTCGATCGATAGTTGCCCGTCAACAACCTCAACAACGTCAGGAATGTCAATCCCGGATCAATTTAGTCCCAACAGTGGACCGTTTATAAGTCCACCACTCCCAACGGGGACCCTGGAGCCCGAACATTCCGCTTCGTCTCAGCAACCCGGATCCGGACACTCAGCACAATTAGAAAAGAAAACAGGAGACAGTGTGCTTCTGGATCCTGAAATCCTTACAGAAGAAGCTACACAAGCCCTTACGATTGCTGTTCTGGTCAGTTGTCCGTTGTAAAAAAATGGCTATCCGTTTTAAAAACTGAAAAAAAAACACGCAACTGCCTGCATGATCTAACCTGTTTTTTTACATCTCATGCATCTTTCGTAATCGGTGCGTCATGCAACCTAATCAGCAAAGGAATTTATCGCCGATACCAATAAGGTATACCTCTGCACGCTTTTCATCTCAATGGCTGGCTTATTGCTTTTGAACTGAATCCCTCTTTCCATCCGTAACTGTTATCACTTGGATGTCATGTTATGTTCCGAGGGGCACATCCGCGGATATTTGATTATGGATATTTTGAATACTTTCACGATGCTTGAATCTATTTCTTTTGTTGCCATATTTTATAACAGTACATTTTATTCACGTAGCTTTTTACGCTTGTTGTGTTTTGAATTCATTCACTAGCACGCAACACTTTCACTGTACAGATAGTGAAATCCAATTCTCGATCCCAAGTTTCAAAGACGAGCTTCATTCAACCTACATACGAGCACTGGATTCGAGTAGTCTGATCGCTGTAGTTTACTTGTGAGTGGTCTCGCACACGTGCAGGACCGAAGCAAACTTAACCGCTTGATCAGCCAGCCACCTCAAACTCAGGTGAAGTATACGTATGCGCCATACTGCATGTTGCACCTTACAGTCTCCCTCTGAAGTTTTAAGACGTACACTTCTCAAGACTATCTTCAAGAAATAGGGCTTCTCAGCTTTCCCTTCCGCCAACTAAACCTTCATTGATTGCACTACGTTTGCAATGTCGAAACATCGAAATGCCACCTCGTGATAGACTTTACAACTGTCTGAAGTTTGCATAATTTGCACGATGCCTGAAAAGAACGTCCAAACTTTTCCTCCACATAATTGGTGGTGATTCGAACCTTTAACACTTTCGCCAGTCCAAATGGGCCGCTGTTCAGGTTATACCTTTCCCAAAAACCTACCTTGTGAGTCCACGTCACCACTTCTACAACAGGGTGATAACCACGGTCACCCTGTCATTGTTTTGTTGTCTTCAGTGATTCGAGTTGTATTGCACCTATTCCAACTTAGCGATCAAGCAACCAAATGAACATCAGTAACATCAACGTGTAATTCACCGCTAATGGGCGCCACTACTTTTCAAAAATATTCTCCTTTTTTTACTGAATGCTCTTAGGCATAACTGTGCCCCTTGTTGTCGTTACCTGTTGAAGATTGATTTATTTTCCATTGACAGACTACGCTCGTTCGATACACAACAGATGAAAATGAATCGCGTGTATTGTACGAGTTTCTGGCCGACGCTTCTATGGTCTTCCCACGCGTCTTCCCCGTAATGTAAGTGTATAACCATAACATGAGGCGTATATTCTGTTCCATTGTTTGAATGTTTCCTCAATCAAACACCAGGTCTTGTCACTATCTTCGAGGATTAGGTTTACTTGTAAGGCCTGACCTACTGAGGACTTTGTAGTGCGGGTAGCGAAACCGCTATACTTCCTGTGGTTTCCCTGACTAAATTTTTATCGTGTACCCTATGTCATGTGGACAGAACTTTGCAAGGTCAGTCCCTTGGTTATCTGCCTACTTGCAAATGGTATCCACACTCCTGCCACTCGAATAACGATGCGGTTGCCCTGGGCATCAAAACTCCTAGATCATTCCCGAAATGTCGTTCTACTCGGCATCTGAGCTTTGGGTCGAACCCTGTTACTTTCCTAAGCTTAGTCATAGAACATTGGACACATGCAAGTGGCCTAAAAGTTTGTCAGTACACCAACGCAGTTAATACTTCATGAAGGGGGTCCAGTCCTTGCTGCAGCATACTTTTTTTCTTTTTGACATTCTTTTGCACAGGTGAACTCCAAAAGCGGAGTCTTCGAATCATTTTAAGTTTTCCATACCTATCGTACGCCCAACTAGGTATACTGTTTTCTCCAATTCCCTGAAACTGTTACTTAGTCCTTTTCTCAAGTCTTAGGACTATTCTTACCGCTTTTTTAATATATCAAATTTATTACGTCACGTTTTCATTCCTAAACTTACTATAGCCATAGTTTACTGGACTCGAAGATCAACTATGTGCTTACCCACTGTCACGATCAGAAGATACTGAGCGCGGTTCAAAGCATAATTCAAAATGTAATATCTAGCGGTGAAACTTCGGTTCAGCAGCTGCACTATCTACAAAGTGAGTCTGTATGTTCTGGTCGTATTGTCGTCAGGATATCTCACATAGTTTTGTGCCGAATAGTTGTGTATGTTCGACACGTGCGTAACACACGGTGCGATGTGAACTTTTCCATCTTGGTTGTTTTTCTTTGTTCGAGCCGCCCTTCCCCGTGAATTCCAGCTAATTCCAAAGCACTCTAGCACATTATGACCGTATCCTTTATGATGCAGCTTACATTTTAACTCAGTTAGTCAATAACAACCCTGATTCGGCACTTCCTATAATAACAACCAGCTACATTGTGATATGTCGAAAGGGAAGTGTCACTGAACTAGAGCCACTGATCCATAGGCACGCAGTTATTGTCAACGAAGGTAATAAACGTATCCACTGGGGATAACCAATGAATCCCCTTCTGAAATTCCCGCACTGGGTGTACCCTTAGTGAACACATACTGCTGCCATATATGCGTTCACTTCAACTGTGCTAACCCATTTCCGGGTATCCATTTACCACTTCACAATGAGTAATCATTGCATCACCCATTTGCGGCCTTTATCTTGTTTCTTCTGCCAACATGGAGATGACTGGTGATCTATAGTTCGGAGGAGACAGAGCTTTGCTTTGTGTGCTTTGCGAGCCCCGCAGGACACTTTTGAGACAACTGTAGATTTTTCGTGTTATCTAGTTCTTGTCATCCATAAAGTATCCGTTTATCAACCTTAGTATATTCCTCTAAAATCCGAACATATCAAAGGCGCGACAGATTTGACTGCAGACACCATCCTGGACACCCCGACACCGTCACGAGTTCACACTGAAACATCTGTAGTTCCCTGTCGCTACAGTTTACAGACAATTCATGGGTTTATCGGCATTAAAAACCTGTAGGTATTGGCTGCATACTTCAGTCTTCATGCAACTGAATTAGGGTATGATTAAGGCCAACTTTGTCCCCGAGTTTGCGGCTTCCAATGACTCGAAGAGCATCACCGCCCATCGCTGTAGAGTCGTAAGCAGTCAGAATTTTATAGTTCTTATTGAGCAGGTTATTATGGAAACATAACGACAAAAGCAGAGTTTCACAGGCCAACTTTTCAATCGCCATAGCCTTCATGGCGAGCGAAATTACTTGGATTACAAAGGACGGAAGGAACAAGGATTGACCGGTCCTTACTGACTTGTTCTCAACATTCAAGGGGCTGCTTGATTGCTATCACAGTGCATCAACTATTCAACCTTGTTGAGAAGTTCCGTTCTTTGGGACCAGTACTTGTTGATTCTGGAGATTCTATCCATGCTGTAAATTTGTCGCTTAGATACGGAATGCAACACATCGTGCAAGCCTCATGAAAAGATTTTGAAATGGAAGTTTTCAGACACCTTATGAACTCTTCGTGGGCTTATCACTGAAGTCCCCACCAGACTTTGCAACACTCCTCTTTTTACAAATAAAAAGGACAAAACCAAGCCTCCCTGCCGGATGGACAATGACTTTCCACGTGATGCACGTTTCTCGCTTTGGCTCCTTCATGATTCGCTCCGCGCCGCAATCTTTGTAGTGTAAAGTCAGAGTATTACCGAGTTATTTCGATGTATTTTCCCAGGAAGCCTCTTTTAACAAGCCACTTGCCGAATGCAAATAAAAAACGCATACTCATGCTCCAGATTGATCCATGTTGTTTCCGACCGCTTTCCTGCACATGCTACCGAACAGAATAAAGTAGTCTGCTTTGGTTTCCAATTTCAGTCACAATCGGTATATGTGATCATACTTTTGTCGCTTAACCTGTGTTTTTAAACTTGCGGTAGGTACTAATTTTGGGTATCTGGACATATGTTCACAAACCTTCTGCCCCTGTGACGTGATGCTCGTATGTTGTTCCGTGTTCTTCTTCCAAAGGTATCGGTTTCGGTGGACTATGGCGATTTTCGGGACACTTTTCCAAAGTACGTTTCTTCCCTCTGTTTTTTTGTCTATTTTCTCCCTTTGGTATTCAGCGATCACGTCATTCAGCTCCATCTTAAAGTACAATGAGGAAAAATTGGCCAACTTTGAGGAAACGAAATATAATCGGTGCTGGCGATGTCAGTTGCATCCGTTTTTTACACTGACAGAGATGTAGGTGTGGATTTTCCATTTTCAAGCGTGGAATTTAGATGGGTCGGGAGTAGTCTCGAAGTGTGCGAAATGTTTCAATCTGTTAGCTGTTGAACGTAATGGGACTCAATGGTTCTTGCCACTTTACCTTACAGACAGTCTCGTGTACGCACACGCAATTCACTCATATCCTTGCGTCACATCAACTGCTTGTTTTGTGTATCTCCTCAACGGATTCATACTGAACGTACTTTTGGCCACACATCACGCGGTCACACGTGTTGGCTGGCTCTTCGAGCAACGACTTCTCAGATGGAAGATTCATTCATCGGGTAAAGTTTATTCTTCCATCGAGCTACTTATGGAAGTTTTGTGGTGTAGGGACATTCGGGTTTTGTGGGGTTTTGTGAAGATTTCGTCCTGTAAGTGAGGACAATCCATGCTGAAAAGCCGAGAAGTCCCGTGATTGAAGGATGAGTGGCGCTATATCCTGTCTAATTGCGAGTCAATCACAATCCTGGTCAGCCGCTCGTGACCGAAAGACTAAGTGTTCAACTACTAGCCAGGAGGTCACGGGTTCAAGACTCTCCGGAGTTTCGTGAAATGCGCACTGCTGATGATTCCCAATAGGGATGAAACGGCTGTACGGTGCTCCTGGCTATTCAGCATAGAATGGCTTCACACATGACACTCAATCATTAGCCCAAACAGACGATTGTAAATAGTATGTGGGAGATTTTTATAACTAACAAATGTAATCTTACCGAACTGGTCGCGGCACAAGAAGGGAATTTGTGTCTAATCAGTAATGATCGGACCTGCCATAGCGTGCTAAAAGTGAAAACCTGTCTAATGTTTGATGAACAATAGGTGTGCCGCGAGCTCGCATACAAGTCTGATAAAGTTGCACTTGATGGAACTTCCACAAAGTTGCAAAATTCCGACTTACCCAAATCGCTATTCAGTCAGTCATGGCCGAACACCACAGTGTGCGCCTGTTGACCGGAGAATAACTCCCTTTTCAGGATGATATCTTTTTTGAAATCCCGCGAAATAACTTAGGTTGCTTCCCGAAACACGCTCATATGCACACTGATTTACTTTTGAAGGGAGATTCAACTGGATCTCAGCTGAATCTCTCGTTTATAATATTCCTAAACTGGATCTGCTCCACGAGGACCTCCTCATGTTTCATTTCGTACGGTGTTTGAAACGTCGCAGTATATTTGCTTGCAGGAACACTACGCATAAAATTACTGTCGAGGAGTTTTTGGCAACCTAATGAGTAGTGTTCTTTCGAAGGTCACTTGTTAAAGTTGTGTTTTCCATTGGCTACCGACAAGGTGCATTTTCTTATGTAATAACATCTCAAGGTAATCCTTCTTCACCGTTATCCGGCCACGAGAAACAAATGTTTGACGGAAAGATTAGTTTCTTTCAATTACTTCGCGATACGGTCGGTGGGTAGTACCCAACGACACATACATCTCTTTTCATGTTCGTCTTTCGAGACTATAAACCCCACTCATTATTTCCTTTGCCTCAGGTAGGTCAGATGAAGGGCTTATAGCACCCTTTAATGAGTGAGTTATCACACTACCTCATTTCTGCAAAGCACTTGCGCAACTCGTTGAGAATTCATTGCGTTTTCGTTCGGTTTCTGTCGGCTACTTTCCACCGTTCGCCAGTTTCAGAAGCCTAAAGGCTTTAGACCATTTGGTGTCTGTAATATAGACCCGATCGATACGACTTCTCGTTCAGCCATGTATTCGGGCACGTCGTTAGCCACATCGAATTGAATTCACGCGGTGATAGTTCATCTCTGAAATTAGTTCCAAGGAAGTTTGGGCGCTGTGAGTTGTCTGATTGCTGATGACTGCACAATGGGTATGTTAAATGAAAAGGTCTGATATTTATCCAGAAACAGCCGACTGATGTGGAAAAACTACCCATGCAGCTAGCTAAAGACTGATCAGTATACTGTCGTGTGCTGTATGTAGTGTGAAACTCGTATACCCTGGCAGCTGTGTATGTTGCGCTGTGTGCATGCTGGCCTTGGGACTAAATTGTCAATTCATGAGCGGTCTGTCGTTCTTCGGTTATCTTGGTAGAATCAATTTGTTCGGACCACATGGCAGACAACCTGACACCATCAGACCCGTTAACTCAAAATGTCATGTGAATAGCTACTGTTTCAAATCAGTGTCTCTATACATCGAAGTTTAGCCGCAAGATATGAATGTCGTGCAAGTTGACCCGATAGTCCTCAGCTCAAGTAGAGTGCGACCGTTGATTCACGTTCCGGTTTATTTAGATCAGAGTTGCCCTAGAGTTCCATTTCTGTTTATTGATTCAATGCTTCAGTTATCTGCTAACTTGCCCAATGTAAACAGCCACACAATCGATACACTCAGTTGTGGTGCGGTCATCGGAATTAAGTGGGTCGTTGCAAACCAGTAGTTTCGGCAGTGCGATTGTGTTGTGGACTTTAAAGCTGGAGAGTGAGCAACAGATACTTTCAGATGTGTACTCTCGGCACAGGATCCGCACCGTGTCTCGTCATCGAAAGTTAGTTGGTTTACTGTTTTAGCAAATCATGCAGTTTCATAATTCTACTCACCGTGTGGCGTTGAAGTTGCCTCATTGTTGTTGCTAGATTCTTGGCACAATCAGTGCAATCCACAATCGATCGTAGTGGAATGCGTCGTTTGCGGTTTTGGTAGACCGTCTTTTTCGATTTGGAGACCAGACAAAACCACAAGGATTTTCCTAGTGTGGGTTTTATGCTTCGAAGATATTGTGATACTTGCAGCTTCATTTGCTTTTTTTGTCGCTTGACGTTCTTGCTATCGATAAGTATGTATAATTCTCTGGCTAAATGGTTAATTGTTTCTTTCCCATAGTCTCTGCGATTCATCACGGTTGTAATATTCTCTTGCCAGCTGACAGAAGGGACAAACACTTGTGATTACACTGTCCGTTAAATTTCGTTGTCCCCTGAATTGTGTTCATCTCTTTACCTTTGGTTTTCCCATCTAATCTATTCTAGGCGAATCAGAACTCAGAGGCCGCTCAGCTGTTTGTCAACTTTCTGGAAGTACTCATCGACTCCCATCTCCCTGGAGAAGATTTGCGCACATCTTACACCCCAGTTCTCGGTCTCGGAAGTACGAGTCGGGCGGGAAATTTATCAAGCTCTTCCTCACTCAGCCTCTCCAGTCTGCATGGGCCTCTCGGAGCGGACCCAGTGCTGAATAGTACAGATGCCGAAATTCCTGTGCCTCTCTCACCTACCTTAGTTGCCGTTCCGTGTACCGTCCCGACCGATCGGGACGATGCCATATCTCCAGAAGCGATACCTGTTGCCCAGGTTGAACATGTTGGCGATTCCAGAAAAGAAGTTTGTGACTCTCCTGCTGGAACAGGAACGGTGCATCAGCCCCCTGAAGTGAGTGTATGATCTGTTTCTTAGTCATTCTCATCCTTATTCGCCCAGGAGGCAACTGTTTGAGATAAGCTGTATTAAGCCTTAACCACAAACAACCGTTATAGGCAGGGCCTGGGGACGAGTGTAAACTATCTGGCGGCTTTTTGTCAATGACTATCAGTCTAATGACTGTCTATATTTTCGAAGACTAAGTTGTTCTTGGACATCGCTGAAGCGTGATGTCACGTCCACATGGTGTCTGTGGAATTGTGCATCACACTCTATCGCAACTCAGTTTCATACCTAGGTTGCACACAAAGCGATCATAGTACACCTTTTTTCTTGTAAAGTGCACTTAACTCCGGTCCAAGAGCACGATTTCTTTTCTAACCGTTTGCAATAATTGCCCTTCTCTGGGGTACGGACTCTCTCCGGGAAGTATGAGACTCCAAATCGATGGAGCAGGTCATGGGTGAATTGCACGATAACTGTTGAAAGCTTCCATTTTTACTGTCTCACGTACTTGAAGACTGTTGAGCACATTCAGCACTTCGACTGAGTTTGCTTCCTGATATAAAAAGCTGGTCTGCTGCTGCCGATGATGATTCTGTCTCCGCGGTCATTCTCTCCTTTGACAGAATAATGTATAGCTCAGTAATGCGCATTGCAGGAGCAAAGTTTGACTCATCCATCTTTTCACGTCATTGGTTTTTGAGTCTTAATCGGCTGCCAGTCACCCACCTTCGATTGGATCAAGGCGGAGTTACAAGAAAGCCACATACTACTCGCATCCCCATCAGTAGTATCCAGCCCCACACTAGTAGTAATCGTCACAGCATAAGAAGAATATCCCGACACCCGTGTCCGACAGAGTTGTGATGATAGGGTGCGATCGTAAACGTTTTTTAACAGTACCTGTTCGCGCGTCACAATCGCACGTTTGCTCAACTCCATTTAGTTTGCACGGCGGGCGCATGGTGTATGTAGGTTGAATAAACAGAACAGCGTCGAAACGGGCAACTTCTGGTAAACTACGATGGATGGATCGAATTCTAAGCCGATTTGCCAATTGGCTATTTTTCCTTTACGAGAGACAATACATTGCGTGATGTCCTACAAATGACATCACACTTGACACTTGTCCATAAACTCTAGCTTCATGTCAAAGAATGAATCACCACTGGCCTGGGAAGAATCACAACATCTAGTATAACCGATAGATGCAGCTCGAATTCAGCCGGATTCAAGCTGAATTAGTGTGAAAATGAGTGTATCTCGCCAAACTACAATTCGCTTATCATCATCATCAGTCCTGCCTCACCAAATTTTCAAACCTTAGGCATTTTGCCACTCAGACATAAGTGTTGTGGCATGTTTCGAAAGCGACCAGAACATCTTCCAAACACTTCCGAAGCTATTACTCCTTGATCAGTTCCAAGCGCTTTTCAACTAGTCAAACATTTTATTGTTTTTCACGGGTCAACCACTAACACCGTGCTGATCGCTACTTGTGAAGCTTTGATGTCTCCGATACTACTCATGAGTAAAACGGTTTTACTTTTACTTTCCATCAGCGGACGCCGGATAGCTGAGCTAGCGGTAAGGAGGTGACTTCAATGGATCCTCGATCAAGTCATACGTAGAAGGCTTCGAATAATCTCTTTGTCGTTTATTGTCTTAGTAAAAGATATACTGTTCCCCTTAAAATGTGTCATTTCATGCCTTCCGCTCTTAGTTTCTGGGCCCCACCACATCCACCATTTTTTCAACTGTGTAACCGTGTGTTAGTTCCACCTTCAGTTGCAAGCTCGGTGAAACTGCATTTATGCAACAGATCTTTCTGTATCCCCTCTCACTTCCAAAACACCTTAACAATATCCCTTCATTGTTCTTACATCAAACCTCAGTTCCGTCATTCTTTTCACCTCTCCATTTCATCATTATTCTCAGCTGTGTGTCACACCCATGTGCTTTCAAATCAAACATTCTGTCCTGAGCATATTTGACCTGTTTTACCAGTCAGTTGACCCACGTGAGATGTTGCTGCATTTATCATCCTACGGTCTATCGGCTGCGCCAGTCCATCCCCTCGTACTCACTTCACTCGCTTTTTATCGTGACTTTCTGCTTCACCATGATATACTCTTATTTTTTCTGGCCCAATTTTACTGCTGTGTATATCGCACATCCGATGTTTGTTTACCTGTGATCGCATTTCGAATTTGCTTTCATCGTTGTCTTATGGTAACCAGGAAATTTACTCATGTGTTTGCCTATGAGTGACGTTTGTTTCCTCGTATGCTGGGGTTTTGGAGCTGGACAGCGTTTGTGGTTGTCCCGACTTGTAGATACATATACCAAACATGACCGTGTTTCAGTCTCAGTACTTCGGTGAGACCAATGAGTGGTTGTTGTACACTGGTTTCAGCTAGTCTATGATCACTAATAGCTTCTCAGACGTTGAGTGAGAGTAGTTCCCTTTCGAGGTCATGTCTCCAGGCCACTACATAACATAACCTTATAGGGTACCTGCGAATCAACACAATCATCGTATTCTGCTCGATGTGTTCATTTTACAAAGGCATCCTGAAGAGTCCTCTCAAGAAGATAAGGTATGCGGTTCATCATCAAGGTTCACAGAACTTTATCAGCAGGCTTTTCTTATTTTGCTCACAGGTGCTCTGTTGGAAATTCGCCGTTTGTACACCTAGGGTAATCCCATGAAGGTAGACCACTACGGGACTACAGTAGTCTTGCGTAATATGCGAGGCTACATACTAGGTATTCCAAGCCAACAAAAGTTGTTTTGAACTGTCCGGGTCTGTGGTGTCTCGTCTGGGGTTCATTGCACTTGGTAGAGCTTCTCAAGAGCGAAAACACCAAAGAAGCGAAACAAATCTCCCAGTCGCGGTTCTCCCTCTAGCCCCCATATAAGGCACCTCCAAAATGGTGCACTTCAGAGAGACGGAGAGAGATCTCTGTTTACCCAAAATATGGAATACGTTGAATGTTAGACACGAAACGTCTAGCGAGTTGGCAGCATCACCGTTCTGGTATGCACAGAATCCTTGAAGAAATGGCGTCCAACAGATCTGTCTCGCAGGTACGACCATGTAATGAAATTATCTAGTGTGAGACACTCGTTTTTCAGCTAAGTATCAATTCCCCACAGCATATAATTCTGTCCGGACCACACCCACGGGTTGTGTGGAATTTCTAAACAGCATTCACTTGGCTGACCACGATTCCATCAAACGATCGTGATGAAGAAGAGGACTAAGCACCAGACCTAGTATTGGATTTATACCCTCTTACTCTTATATCACTACCAAGTACAACTGATTAAGTCAGGTAAGAATTTATCGACGTCTACCTTCTGCTGCTCCTTTCAACCCCGGGCAGATGTTTAGGAATACTTGGTATTGATCACTGTCACTCTATAGGCAGTGACATAATGTTAATATTAAATGTTATTCTACGTCAAGCAGGATACATGGAAGGTTCGAAAAGAACGGTAAAGTTAACTGTCTCTGAAAAGCCAACAATCCAGAGGGGCGAATGTTTTGTCCGGTCCCTAGGGCGACCGCCTTTGGAAGGGACTACTGCATGTAGGCAGCTATTTTACTTCCTGTGCACATTTTTGTCGGCCTTCTCTTAGGAAAATAAGACACTCCATGGAAGTAAAATTGTTGTCTTTATCTGACAGTTAACCAGGACATTACCTATTCATGAAAACCCCTGAACTGCTGTACCCACTAAATCCAGTAGGAATCTCCGTCAATCTGTGACGCATTACAACTTGCGGGTAAAAAATACGTGTGCATTTCATGAAACAGCCCGTGTTACCAGATGCTGTTCGTCGTACATGCGTTTTGGAGTGGATACGACGTCGGTCGGGGGCATCCGTATTCAACCCGCCACTTCACTTTGGTCATATCATCCAGTGGCGCCAGATACCGTTNTGCTTCTGGAGCACTCTTTCCCTGTACACTCTCGAAATATTATATTCCTCAATAGTCTAAGACTATGATTAACGCTTACTCGTCCTGTTCGTCTTTGCTCTTCTTGCTTCCTACATCCTCCAAACTTCTAGATGGGGTTTGCGCGCAATTCCTTACATCTGATAATCCTTACAAGAAAGTCCCTTACACATCAATCGCCTGCTTGATTATTGAAAACATTCTACCCCAAGATCGGGGGCGAGATAGCTTAATGGTTAGAGCGCGAAGGTCCGTTGTTCCGACCAGACCACTGCATCTCGACCTCCTCTGCCTAGGCTTGGGCAACTTGGCAGTATCCCACCCTTCGTGCTTCCTTCGGGTGGCATGACAGCTTATCGCCGAAAGTGCGTTACCCAAACGTCAGCGTTTAGAACATTAGGACTTCAGGATTCAATATGAGCACATTACTCATTAGTCTTCTATCATTCAAATGGCGTCCGAGTGCTTCACATCATGCATTCAAGGGTCAACCAGAGGCACTTGTCTGTTACACACGGGTCAAGTAACGACACGTGGTTTCAAGCCTCAAAGGAAGGCTACAGTTTACATACTTTTTACTCACATGGCCCATAGGGTTGCCTCTCGGTTTTAAACCAGCTTTAATTTTCCGAAGTACTTAATCGGTGCACAAAACAAAACTTCTGCACTATGAATACGGGAAGGAGAACCTTGGTCATGACTTGCACCCTTTATGCAGTAATGCATTTAAAATATGATCTGTACCGCAGCTTAATCACCAAAGAGAAGTAATACCAATGCATCTGGCCATTCCAACTTTCGCCCGAAATTCCGCCGTTAGCACTTTTTCGAGAAGGACTCCGATACATTCATGCCAATTTCCATACGAGCACAGAAGGATTCTTCTACGGTCAATTGCTCCATTTCGGGGGTATTTTCGGGTCACCTCAAATATATACCCTTAAGACAGTCCATAAGGGAAAAATTCGGAGGAGACGGATAGTAAAATGGTGATGACCATTTTTTAGACTCACTGAGGTCAACCTACAGGCTTGTGAATGTTTCGTTTAGGAAATTGTGAACGTGGTGAGCACTGCAATACAGTGCTCCATTCTGGAGCCACACTAAGTATCGCTCAGGAAACGTCATTCCGTCCGGATTCGGAATGAACTAATCTTGTTTAAAATATCATATCTCACTTACCATGTTATACCAATGTTGTCGAATCTTGTGACGATATTCTCGAAAAAATATGGATCCCAACCGAAACCACTAACTGTGGTCTATGAACGGGCCGGACGCAGTCTTATTGAGGCCGGAAGTGAAAGGTACTGCCCTGGAAATCCACGTTCCCAGAAAACAGGGCCACAACTCCTCCCTTAGCCCTGAATCTCCTTCATTCAGTTAACAATCAGTCTTCTACTTGACTGAACCATTCCCCTTTCTCACAATTCGCCATACTGTCCGCTGATTGTTAATCTGGTGACAGAGAATCGGTTGGTGTGGGTCAAAATGAATTGGTGATATAGTTCGTGAATATATCCTCTAGGCTTGTAGTACAAAGTGCCCAACAGTAACCTCTTCTCCTATGCCACCTAACCATGGCTAGTTCGTTCACCATTCGGATATTGGTGACAGCCTAGAGCAACTCTTGGTGCGATCAATTTCCTTTGCCCCGATTAAATCTGACGATAAGTTTCGAATGACTTTCGGGTGGGCTGGCTTATCACCTTCAACTTGAACAGACCGAGTCAGCGATTTGACACCACCGCCATCGGTCTCGCAATGATGTCGCTGTGTAGGCTGCTGATACGATGCGCCAGCAAACCCGAATGGATCGGCGCAAAACTCCCAAAGACAAAATGACAAATAAGATTGGCTTTCTCACCTAGTTATTCGGGTATTTTCACCAAGTTCAGCAGAGCGCCACGTATACTCTAATGAATACATAGGGATACTGTGACCGGCACTCTAAATCCCGAACCAGACTTTCAACACTGACGAGGTTGCAGCAAACATATATATATTGGATGTTCTCGCTACCAATGAATTGATAGTAGTAGAAATGGAGTGTAAACGCCATTCACAGCATGCGTTTTCATGCCACAATTGGAGCAGGTTTGACGGAACCTAAGGGACTACGCCTAACTGATAAGCCCCAAAGAAAGATTAAAGTGGCCGTAACCTGTCAATGATTTTCCAGCAAACTTATCGAGAAAATCACCGCCTTTTGGAAACGGCGATGTGCGCAGCGCGCACAACGCATTGCGTGCACAGCTGAAGAACCGGAACCCCATTAAATAGATAACTTAGCCGTGAAATTCTGAAGCGCGTTTTGAGACCACATTCTCACCTAATCAGAAACGATACCGGCAAATGGCAGTATGCTCATCATGACAAGGCCTGGTGGAATTCGATCCAGCCATAGCGAATTTAGTCAAGAAAGTGCGAGTCTTGAGGAAAGCTTGGTGCTATCGATCTCAGTTTTGCTTAGGTAGCGTGTTCGACTGGTCTATGGATGTCTCACAACGAAATTAGTGCCGCTACAGCCTTATCTGAAACTAATGACTTTGAAAACGGAGGGGGTTCTTCAAATAGCCTTAGTGACCCAACCGAGCCGGTTGTATCTGGTATTTGGCGACCGAGTGTATACAATGGTGCTGTATGATTGACACGGTTACAACGGCAATGAGGCTACGCGGATTACAGGATTACAGGACTACATGTGCGACACGGGCCGTGACGGGAAGGTCCGCACGGAGGACTGTGGAGAAATATGGGTGGACTGGAGTTCAAACAATACATTCCTACGGACGGCTTTCTTTGTGTGTGATTTTCTGCGGGATTTTGGTGAGAAATTCGAGGTAGATGTTCGGTAAAGTGCCCAATAATACAAAGCCTAGCAACGTATATCGCAAGGACACTCAGCAATGCTGAATCTGAAACTGCGATCTTCTGTCTCAGTTGCAATCAATGCATCTGGAATATTGTTGGGTCATCTGCGCCTGTGCTGTGATCACGGAGATGCATTCTTAGTCCTGCTAATCGTCGTAGCCAGTTCACGTCTGGTCTGCGTTTAGGGTCAGATTCCAACAATGTTGTTACTCGCCTTAGCTTTAAACATAAGGCTGACTTGATTGATTGAACGTGTATTCTGGCACCACGGTTACTGAGTTTTTTTCTTTCCAGCTACCGTGGTTGTTATATTCTGTTATTGACGTTCGAATGTTGTTCCTCGTGGCTTTACTATACAAGGGCTCTAAATTTTTGGTCAATAATGACTATTCCCGCAAATGAGATGTCGTTCTTCTTCACGATTTCTATTATAATGTGTAGTCTCAGCCTTCAGTAACTTGGGTTGGTGTGGCACACTGTACCTATTCATTCCAGATTCACTTCGCATGCAATTTCAAAGTTCACGGTTTTTCATCCAGAACAGTCACAATAACTCTACTACCAACCCACTGGCTTGGTGTCATGGCAGTTGGTGAACCAAGCTTGCCGCCCGATCAGGAACACAATAGGTACGTAACTCTACATTACGCAAACTCTACATTACACAAAGTAATGGATAATTAAGTGCTTGAACAAATAACTAGGTGAAAAGGGCAAGTGAAGCGAGCAGAACAAGCTACTAAATCTCCAAAACGTAGAAATTGTGATGCCAATGAGACTTCCTCCAATTAAAATCAACTGATTCTGAGTTGCCAACTGGACAACTACCCACCTCTTCAGAAGAACATGCTTAGTGAATGATTGTGGCATCCCTGCGGAGTAGAGTTCGTTCACACCAGCCTTTGAAGACTGGAAGGATCCCTTGATCACAGTATGATGATCTTATGGAATATTTGTAATTTACTACTCATAAGGTTGCTGAAAATCCATCGACAGCCCACGACCGGTTTCGCCCTTCTTGGGGCTCATCAGGTAGGCGCAGTCCCCGGGTTTCCGTCAACCTTATGTTCTACTTCCTTATGAGTAGTACATTACAATTATACATGTATCGCGATATTCCAAATATCGTAGCGACTGAAACATGAGGCGGCCTGGTGCAGCACATTCGGTTGCCTGAGAACATCATAAACGAGAAATTCAGCTGGGTTCCAGATGAGTCCTCTCGAAAGACCATATTAGTTTGTAGATGAGTGTATATTCGCCAATCTTATGGAACACTTCTGAGCGATTCGTGAGTCTATGTTTACTTGTTTCGGGCACGCCTACTCTGTAAGATTTTTAAGGTGAAGATTTCGCCGCAGGGGCTTCAAAAAATTCCTTTAGAGTTTGAAAAAAGCATGTACTCTGTGAATGTTCAGAATATCCTTGAACTAACTCGCCTATGTCGTGGTTTTTTATACTGCAATGAACTACGGAGGTTTCTGTCAGCTGGATATGTTTGGATATGTTTTGAAATTCGGTGTCACCAAGAACACAGTGTCGTTTTTATTCGAAATTAGGTCACCGACGAACTAGATTTCAAATAAACGTAATACCCTATTCATAAGATTGCTGAGGAATCCTTGGAAGCCCACGAACGGTTTCGTCCTTCTTGGGGCTATACAATGTATCGTGATATCTCAAATATTGTAACAACTGAAATATGATGTGACCTGATGCAGCACATTCAGATGCTCAAATACACCGTAAACAAGAGATTCAGCTGGGTTCCAGGTGAGTCTCCTTTCAAAACCGAATCTGCATGCAACTGAGTTTATTTCGCTAATTTCGTGCAATTCGGATTCAGGTAGAACTCAGTGTTGATGAAAAACTGTGCCTACTCACTGAAGCCCAAGATGAGCGAAACAGGTCACTGTCTGTCGAAGTTTTCAACAGCCTTGTGAGTAGTGTACTACGTCTATATTTGTTAGTGTTTATAGAGTAGACTAGAAAACCGACTTTCATTCGTTCTCCAAAAGAGTGACAACAAGTGGCGTCCAAGCTCTGACAGCGCTGTCAAACCTATTTCTCATCGTGTAAGAACTAAGGGGTCTTCTTTCGAAATTCCTCACTTGTTGTATCCGTTTCAATAAACTTAACCTCTTTCAATAGCCAAGGGATCTTTAACTTGAATGTTGCGATGAAACAATAAAGGTTCGTGCCGTAGTTTGTCTGAATATTATTGGGTGCAATTTGAGACATATCCAGATGACAAGGATTTGTGGCTTCACTAATTGGATTGATGAATGTCAACTAGGACCAGATAAGGAAATCGGTTTGTCAAGAAATACACTCGTTTGCAAATCAATTTGGTTTTCACGAGAGACTCAACTGGATATCTCGTTTATGCTATTCTATAACTGAATGTGCTGCACACAGGCCGCCTCATGTTTCAGTTGGCACGATATCCGAAATATCGCATTATTTTCAGCAACCTTGTGATTAGTTTTCATAAAGAAAACTATTCACTAGGTGGGTTCTCTAAGAGTTTTCAGAACCCGTCTGAGTGGTTTCCTTTATGAGGTTGGTTTGTCTTAAGATCATCAGTCATTGGCCAAAACCGCAGGAAGAACTGCATAAGAATGACAAAGTAATTTCACAGCATGACTGCCACCACTGACATGTACCAATCACTTGGTTTATCTCCGTAGCGATATAAACCTGACTTAGGTGACGGATGGCGGTTATCGGAAACGACGTCATAACGACGGACGTTACAGAAAAGCCGTTTATGCAGCTAATAAGTGACGAACAATGAGCGAATTGAGTTTGAAACGATGAAAATGTAGCGGAAGAGTACTCATAAATTAGCGCATTCCAAACCACAACGTTTATTAAAATAAAAAGCAATTAACAAACATTCAGAAAATACATACCAACTTACTTGTCATTCTCACCATTCACATTCACATAACAAGTGTTTCAGAAAGAAAAATCCCATTATTTCGTTCAGGAAACTTGTCCGCATACTGCAAACATAACAAACTGCACGCATGAGTGAAGTGTGGAGACCCAACGGTCAGCTGGGTGAGGGGTGGCGGCCACGAATAACCAAAAATAGATTGGAACTGTGGTGCGCGCCTAACGAACGAATGGCGATGGTTCGAGGCCATCTCGGTGTTTCTGAAGGATACCAAGAAGTAAACTACTCACAAGGTTGTGAATTTCATATAAATTGGGTTCAAGTAGCTTATGAGGTGGACGGAAACTCGGGGACTGCGCCTACCTGATGAGGCTCAAAAAGGGCGAAACCGGTCGTGGGCCGTCAAACAGTTTTCAGTAAACTTGTGAGTAGTTTCCTTTATGTAAATATACTGCGATATCTCGAATATCGTGCCAACTGAATCATGAGGCGGCCTGTGTGCAGCACATTCAGTTGTAGAATATCATAAACGAGAGATTCAGTTGAGTCTCTCATGAACACAAAATTGATTTACAAATGAGTGTATTTCTCGATACCAAGAAGTGCTGCATTTCTATGTAGAAGTTTGCTTTCAACGCTCTATAGTTTTTTTGAAAAACCTTTGATGTGTATGTGAGTATCAGCCGAGAAGAGTGTTAAAACCAGCGAACACTACACGCACATACACACACACACACACACACACACATTTGAACTAGTCAGTCTGAACAAGCGACCTGATTCATGCTCACATGATATGACTGGTTGGTTCGAAGGCTCAAACGTGTTTGACAGGTAAGTTTTCCGGTTTTGTGGACTGAATGGCTCGAATGCCATGATTTCTGTATCACGTAGTCCCAAGTTTGCTTGAAAATCGTTAGATGGCATTCGAATAAACACGCCGATGCAAACTAACCAAATCTTTCTCTGATAAAACCCGGAACTATTATACTCCTTTACTCTGCTCATCCCCTTTGTAACCCCACACCTCTTTGAGTACTAACCGCCTCCAATACAACCTGTCTTGTTTTTTTTCTAGCTAAATGCGAATAATTAGGAGGCACTTTCAAAAAACCAGCGGAGAAACAAGTGACCATAGATTTTTTACAGCAACGTACACAGAGCGTCAAAAAGGGAAACTATAATACTTGAGTGCTACCTACGATGATGTAAGTTACCAAACAAGGAGCGTCAAATCACTTCGAAAACGAGGTTAGTGTATAAAATGAAGAAGCCACGTCCAAAGTCACGAAGGGGAGTCTACTCTGTTGAACCGACGGAGTTACTGTATTAGCATTAATTGAAGCCCTGTCTTTATGAGTAGGTTTACACGAACCATATATGTAAGACACAGTCAAATCCAGAGAAAATGCTTCATGAGCTACATAAGCGACTTTCGAAACCAACCACGGTTGTAAAACATTCACTCCAGAATGTTGACATATCCGTCTGTGAAAACTGTGCTATGTCCAATACATACAATAAACTCTTAATTTAGTATGGAAATAATCGGTGTTGATATTTCGTGACTTTCTTTCGAACTACCTAATTTAGTGAATTTTCTTTTCTCCCGGGTTGCCTAACTTAACTGCACACTAGTTTCACCAACGACAATTTGTCAAAGAACAGTTGAATAGCGCTGCCCATCTTTGGTTATAACTCACCATTGCTGACACAATCAACTGACCTAAAGGACTAAGTCCTACTGCTGCGACTTGTAGCACTCGTGCTGACTGTCCCGATAACAAGCAAAACGTCCCGCGTTGTGGCACGAACCATAGTCAATGGTTCCCTATCATTTTTTCAGGGATCTAGTGAGCTCTTCCATATATTTTTCAGTGGACACTGATGAGGGAACATGGGTGGGGCAGACTCAACTACAAACAATGCAA